GCGAACACCGAACCATGCGGGAACGAGGGTGCAGCCGTGTCGGAGAGAGAGAGAGAGCGGAGCTGTCCAGCTGTGGAAGAGTAATAAACAAAAAAGAAGACACGAGTCCAGATCGTCGTTGCAGTGGTTTATTTCATATCAATGGTTCTGGCTGTGTGATGGGCTGTGTGTCTCACTGGCGCGACCACCGCTAGCAGTGGTTCTCTTGCGTGGACGCGCTTGCCTCTCACAACGCAGTTGGCAGCGCCGCAGCTTGTGTTACACATAGACATGTCATTAACTTACTAATCCCCCTAGTCTCCCTGCCTAATCTCTCCCAACAACAAAGTGATAATCTCCCATTAACACTGCTGTTGTGCGCATATGCGGGGATGATACTCTTATGCAGCGACGGAAACTCATTTCATGCTAATCTCTCTCCCCCATTAACACAACTGACGTGCTTGCGTCCGGGGACAAAATTCCTTTCCAGTTCTGACCCCGCCTGCTTGCCCAACGCCACGTAAATAACCTCTTGTTGTAACAGCTCTCTCACTGGTTCAGCAGTTCCACTGCTGGATTGTTTTTTACACCTGAGGACGACCGCTTGTGTTGCGATCAAAAAGTCGTGAAATATTATTTTTTGTTTATTTTATTTTTCTACCTACGTGACTTTACGGAAAGAACCAAAGAGTATGGATTCCTGCAGTGATGAAATCTTCAAATAAAGATCATACACATACATTTTCACTTCATATTTTACGCACGTTTAATCACACATACGATTGATCACATTACACTGACACTCAATGAACATCAATTAACGTGAATTATACGTATCATTATTTTAATATTTTTTTCACATTTGCATAATTGAATGAATTATCATAATTTAACTAATTTGCATTATTGTTTACAAAAAAAAATCATTTAACATTAAAACAAATTCACAGCACAAAATATACAACAGTGCAAATACAAGGAAGGTAAACAAATCACCCAGACGCATCTATATATATAAAATCGTTCATGTCTGTCTGTGTGTGTGTGGACTTTGGCCCATACGCACTTTCATTGGACGGCGGTTGCCCCTGGCAACGGCTAGCCACGCCTTCGCCGCTTTCATTGGACCTGGCAACGGCTAGCCACGCCTTCGCCAAGGGCTGCAGTTTCATTGGACGGCGGTTGCCCCTGCCAACGGCTAGCCACGCCTTCGCCACTTTCATAAGCTCCGTATTTAATTAAATAATACCCATTACACAGTATTGTTGGAGCGCTAGGGGGGGGGGAAGGAACGCCACCCGTACCCTGCCTCTTCCAAGCCGACAATTTTAGGCGAGGCCGCAGGCTTTGCACGCTACTAGGCCTCGACACCCACCACGCCACTCTGAGGTAAATTTATCAAAGTTTTTCCTACTCTTCACTACACCCCCACCACAATGTGTGCTATTAATATTACTTTTAAACCCAACGCGCCAACAATCGATTACTTTAATGTTCACTGTACAAATACTCATTAAGCTGGGTGAGCGTACTGCCAGTCTATCATGTACACTGTAGCCTGCTTATTAAGCTCGGTGAGCGTACTGCCACTCTATCATGTACACTCTAGCCTGCTTATGAAGCTGAGTGCGTGTACTGGCAGTCTATAATGTGGACTCTTGCCTGGTTATTATAATCCATTCTTTATATGTTCTTTGTACAAACAGTCATTAAGCTGCTTGAGCGACTCCAGTTCGATTCCAACTCACGCCCACCACCGCTGACGATTATTTGAAACGGACCTGGCCCTCCCCTAGGTCCACTCAGCCTCAAACGCGTAACTGCTGTCGTGTGTGAACATCGTCACTGGGGAGACAAAGGCGGCCGGGCATCGTGGATCCAAGTCCGGGTCATGTGTATGTGTGTTTGTGTTTATGTGTATGTCTGTGTGTCTCTATGTATGTGTGTATGTATGTATGTGTTTGTGTGTATGTGTGTGTGTATGTATGTGGGTTTTTTTGTATGTCTTTATGTGTATGTCTGCGTGTCTCTATGTATGTGTGTATGTACGTGTGTGCATGTGTTTGTGTGTATGTATGTGTGTGTCTATGTATGTGTGTGTATGTATGTGTGTTATGTGTCTGTCTGTGTGTCTGCATGTATGTGTGTGTGTATTGTGTATGTGTTTGTGTGCATGTATGTGTGTGTTTGTGTGTATGTGTATGTCTGTGTGTATGTATGTGTGTGTATGTGTGTGTATGTGTTTGTGTGTATGTGTGTGTGTGTTTACGCTCGCATTACACAAATGTGTTGCTGGCCTAAGGCGTTCCTCGCACAGCATTGCCGCTTTATTATTTCAGTCGCTTACTGCCTTACGCACCCTGAAAGTCGTGTGTGTCTGCAGCAAGCGCGTGTATGTGTACCTATGGACGCGCGCGCGTGTGTTGTGTAGGGGGAACGGTAGTGTAGTGCTTAGCGTGCTGTCTGTGTCTGTGTGTGTGTCTGTGTGTGTGTCTGTGTGTGGTGTGTGGGGAGCGGTAGTGTAGTGCTTAGCGTGCTGTCTGTGTGTCTGTGTGTGTGTGTGTCTGTCTGTGTCTGTCTGTGTGTGTCTGTGTGTGTGTCTGTGTGTGTGTCTGTGCGTGTGTGGTGTGTGAGGAGCGGTGGGTGTAGTGCTTAACGCTACGCTGCGCTACCAACCCGGCGAACCCAGTTCCATTCCCGCTCACGGCCACCACCGGTCACGATTATTTAAACCTCCCCTAGGTCGACTCAGCCTCAAACGAGTAACTGGTGTGGCGTATAACATCGGCACTTGGGAGACAAAGGCGGCCGGGCGTGGTGGATCCAAGTCCCGGGCGAAGCCGGGTCATGTGTATGTGTTTATGTGTATGTCTGTGTGTCTGTATGCATGTGTGTGTATGTGTTTGTGTGTATGTCTGTGTGTGTATGTATGTGGGTTTTTTTGTATGTGTTTATGTCTGTGTGTCTGTATGTGTGTATTACGTGTGTGTATGTGTTTGTGTGTATGTATGTGTGTGTGTATGTATGTGTGTGTATGTGTTTCTGTGTATGTATGTGTGTGTATGTATGTGTGTTATGTGTGTCTCTGTGTGTCTGCATGTATGTCTGTGTGTATTGTGTATGTGTTTGTGTGTATGTATGTGTGTGTTTGTGTGTATGTGTATGTCTGTGTGTATGTATGTGTGTGTATGTGTGTGTATGTGTGTGTATGTATGTGTTTGTATGTGTTTGTGTGTTTACGCTCGCATTACACAAATGTGTTGCAGGTCTAAGGCGTTCCTCGCGCAGCATTGCCGCTTTATTATTGCAGTCGTTTACTGCCGTGCGCACCCTGAAAGTCGTGTGTGTCTGCAGCAAGCGCGTGTATGTGTTCCTATGGACGCGCGCGCGTGTGTTATGTAGGGGGAACGGTAGTGTAGTGCTTAGCGTGCTGTCTGTGTCTGTGTGTGTGTGTCTGTGTGTGTGTCTGTGTGTGTGCGTGTGTGGTGTGTGGGGAGCGATAGTGTAGTGCTTAGCGTGCTGTCTGTGTGTCTGTGTGTGTGTCTGTCTGTGTCTGTCTGCGTGTGTCTGCGTGTGTCTGCGTGTGTCTGCGTGTGTCTGTGTGTGTGTCTGTGTGTGTGTCTGTGCGTGTGTGGTGCGTGAGGAGCGGTGGGTGTAGTGCTTAACGCTACGCTGCGCTACCAACCCGGCGAACCGAGTTCGATTCCCGCTCACGGCCACCACCGGTGACGATTATTTGAACCTCCCCTAGGTCGACTCAGCCTCAAACGAGTAACTGGTGTTGCGTATTAACATCGGCACTGGGGAGACAAAGGCGGCCGGGCGTGGTGGATGCAAGTCCCGGGCGAAGCCGGGTCATGTGTATGTGTGTATGTGTTTATGTGTATGTCTGTGTGTCTGTATGCATGTGTGTATGTATGTGTGTGCATGTGTTTGTGTGTATGTATGTGTGTGTGTATGTATGTGGGTTTTTTTGTATGTGTTTATGTGTATGTCTGCGTGCCTGTATGTATGTGTGTATGTACGTCTGTGGATGTGTTTGTGTGTATGTATGTGTGTGTCTATGTATGTGTGTATGTGTTTCTGTGTTTGTATGTGTGTGTATGTATGTGTGTTATGTGTCTGTCTGTGTGTCTGCATGTATGTGTGTGTGTATTGTGTATGTGTTTGTGTGTGTTTGTGTGTTTACGCTCGCATTACACAAATGTGTAATGCGGGTCTAAGGCGTTCCTTACACAGCATTGCCGCTTTATTATTTCAGTCGTTTACTGCCGTACGCACCCTGAAAGTCGTGTGTGTCTGCAGCAAGCGCGTGTATGTGTACCTATGGACGCGCGCGCGTGTGTTGTGTAGGGGGAACGGTAGTGTAGTGCTTAGCGTGCTGCCTGTGTCTGTGTGTGTGTGTCTGTGTGTGTGTGTCTGTGTGTGTGTCTGTGTGTGTGCGTGTGTGCTGTGTGGGGAGCGGTAGTGTAGTGGTTAGCGTGCTGTCTGTGTGTGTGTCTCTGTCTGTGTGTGTCTGCGTGTGTCTGTGTGTGTGTCTGTGTGTGTGTCTGTGCGTGTGTGGTGTGTGAGGAGCGGTGGGTGTAGTGCTTAACGCTACGCTGCGCTACCAACCCGGCGAACCCAGTTCGATTCCCGCTCACGGCCACCACCGGTGACGATTATTTGAACCTCCCCTAGGTCGACTCTGCCTCAAACGAGTAACTGCTGTAGCGTATTAACATCGCCACTGGGGAGACAAAGGCGGCCGGCCGTGGTAGATACAAGTCCCGGGCGAAGCCGGGTAGTACAGCTAGTCTACATATACAAGTTGGTAGTTTAGTGCATGATGTCCAGCAGTGGCTTTACCCTCAAGAGTTTGTGAACACGTTTACACTCACTCTAATGCCCCCTCACAAGCTACGTTTGAAAGTTGGAGTGCCAATCATGTTGATTCGAAATATCGATGGAGAACAAGGTCTCTGCAATAGAACGAGATTTTCAAATCTGCCCATTGACAAGAAATTGCATCGATGCGATGATGGGAAAAGAGTTTTAATTCCTCGCATTACGATTATCAGGTAACGAATCAACTCCTCCGTCCCAACTCCGACGAATCTAGTTAGTCCCCTGTTCAAGTTGCACTTGCAATGATCATCAACAAAGCGCAAGGACAGTCAGTTCATCATTTGGGATTGTATTTGCCACAACCAGTTTTTTTCGCTCATGGACAATCATACGTGGCGTTGTCAAGCGTTACGTCAAGATTAAAATGCCACCGTGTTCACTGAAGACCCATTTTGTGCAGAAGAGGACGGAGTGTATATGAAAAATATTGTGTACAGACAGGTCTTTAGGTAGTGATTATACATTTCGTTTCAGTTTTCGAATGATTACGTCTCATAAAATAATTTCTGCACACTTACACAGGTCAACAACACCCACCGCTTACATATCCACGCATGCACAACCTCACCGCTTGGGTCCGTGTAATGCCCCCCCCCCCCTCCAGTTGGTATATACATAAAGTAGTCCTTTGGTTAAAATGTTATCCCGATCCACAATAAACTATTGTTTACTAAAATAACTGTTATGTCGAATTCACTTATGAGTTGAAATATAAGTCAACATCACTTAGTCTGCAAAAGAGCTCTTTCCATTGGCAAAACAGCAAATGTGATAATGTAAACAAAGCCAGTCGAGGTCTAAACGCTCACAAATGCACGTCGCTGATTGGCTGAGGCCATGGCTCTGCCTACTTAAAGAGCACTCAGATTGACCGAAATTGGCGCCTTGCATGTACAACGTAAACTTACCGTTTATCACAATGTTAACATTAGTCGAAACCATGGGGTCCCATGAGAGGCAAAACGCTAACCAAACAACCGTTTACCGATGTCACTGTTAACCGAGGGACTGCTGTATACAGGCATACCTCATATAGCGCTCAAGATGCGTTCTTGGTCAACAGAGTTGCTCTAAGTGGTATGCATTTCCTGCCAATAGAGGTCAGTTGTCACTGTCGCCATCACAATGACCTGTGTTTGTTTATGGGCTCTATGTCAACATTCTTTCCATTAACCCCAAAACAACTCAGCATCGTTGTGTTGGCTTTGGAATCTACGTTGTTGGGCCTTGCGGAAAAACATATACTGAGGTATGTGGATTATAAAGATTTTTTCCAGAGTAACACTCAATCATTACGATTTTAAATATATACTCGTACATGGCCTCTAATTGCAATATTAATAGAAGAGATCAATAATTCGCCGTGTAATACATATCATCTTCGAATCAAATTCAATATATACTGTATAAGAAGTGCATTATGCCTTGCAAAAATAGAATACAGGTGCATTGATTTAGCATGTAGTATATACAGCAAACCCTTGCCCATCGCCGGTGTTACGTTTTTGGTATAAAGCTGCAATCGGAAAATTCGCCTTCCCCAAACTCGAAGACAAATGGGGATAATGGGGTTTGGTTCACGGTTTCTAACGCGCGATAGAAGACAAAATGGCGGGCGATAGAAGAAAAAATGGCGGGCGGCTGAACCTCACTGCCTGCTCACTCGAGGCTGGAAAGACCGCGGGACCCCCAATGGGCCGCTTGAGAGAAGAGACGGGAGGTAGAGGCAAGATGGAGACAGGACGTAGATAATATGGAGACGAAACGGAGATATGATGGAGACAAGACAGAAAGATGGAGATATGACAGATAAGATGGAGACAAGGCAGAGAAAATATGGAGATAACACAGAGAAAAAATGAAGACGGAGATAAGATGGCTCCGGCATGTGTTCTTCCGCAGCAACAGCATCATCGCGAGCAGTATAGTTACGGCGCGTACAGAAATCTCGTGATCAACCGCGAATGGTCCAGCCACAGGGGCACGATCGGCGAACTCTGTAGCTCAATAAACTTGGGACAAAACTGCTAAACCGTGATAGCTAAACCCACTAGAGGGAAGAGTTTGCTGTACTCTAATGTAAAAATCAACTTTTTTTAACAGGAAAAAATTCAAGGAATCCACTTGTCAATGTTGCAGAGCAGTGCGACCCCAGTGTGTGAAACAAATGGTTGTGCAAGGGACTGGACTGTCGTGAGAATCGTTCGCGTTCCCTTGAAAGCCTCCGCACATCTGGGCTCGCAATGCCTCGCACGATTCACCTTGAGACGTCGCACGACAGCCAAGCAGACGTTTTAATTATCGGACAAATTAAGTATGATGGGACAAATTAACATGATGAGTACTCTTTGGTTCTTTCGGTAAAGTCACGTAGGTATAAAATAAAATAAATTAAATCACGTTTTGTCGTGTTGCGCCCGAAACGTCGTGATTTAATTTATTTTATTTTATACCTACGTAACTTTACCGAAAGAACCAAAGACTATGTATGGATCCCTGCAGTCACGAAAACTTCAAATCATGATTTTACATGATGGGTTTTGTTTTCTGCAGTCATTGGTGACCGGGCTGAGACCATCAAACTCACTGCATTTGAAATCCCAGTTTAATCACAACCATGTGTCTATCTAAGTCTATGGGTTTCTATAAAGTATACTGGTCTATATTTTAATGTATGGGTCATTATATTAGCCATTGGCTTTCTGTGTCAGTGGTTGGGTCTCTGTGTGAATGTGTGTCTCTGTGTCCATTAGTAGATCTTAATGTGAGCCTTTGGGTCTTTTTGGTAATATATCTCTACGTGAATCTATAGTTTCTATGTGAATCTATGGTGTCCATGTCAATATATGGGTCTCTTTGTGAATCTGTGGGTATCTGTGTGACTGCACGTCGCTACGTTGCCAGCATCTTGATCATTGGCTCTATGAGGGTTAGTTTCTAGCGATGATGAGTTGATTGGTTGCTGAATTTGTTAAGGTTGCTTGGGACTGGTTGGCTTGACTTCTGGCTTCTCTAAGTTGAGGTCTCACTTTCTCCTTCTTCATCGTTTGCCTCATCTCCTTGCTCTGCCGGTGCAACTTGACCTGTTTAATAAAGAGAGGTAAGTGATGAGTGCGTGATGAGGCTAAGTGAACAGTGTAGAATTGTGCAACACTTGCATAGATAACGAATGCAGGTACGTGCATAACAATAACAGCCGTTCACAACGTGGCAGTGACGTCACAACCGTGCTTGTGCCATGCTAGGTGCACTTTGAGGTTCCGTGATTTGTCAAAGGTTCGCTGGCAGGAGGTTCACGGAACAGACCCAGGTCTCGTGGGATGACTGAAATGGCTGACAGATGCGCCACTTGTGCCCCCTACTGACAACTTTCTGCGCTTTAGCCGCCTCCTCTGCCCTCGTTGTTGTTGGAGGGCGACTGCCTCCAGCTTCTCAGCAGCGTCCTTCACGAACCTCCTGCACAGAGGCCGATCTTGACACCGCTGGTACCAGTCATAGGCAAGGCCAATCAGCACACACGCACGTGCCCAGTGTGCCACTGAAATACCGCGCTAATTCTGTGGTGGGTTTCCCCAGTCGTTATACATTTTCTAAAACAAAGAAAGTTTTATGAAGACCAAACCAAGCATATTACTGTTTATGTAGTGCCATAGATGGGCCACACTTACCAGCAGTGGTGGACAGGGCCCATCTGCAGGTACCTCGGACCCACAGGGGAGGGGCCACTGTGCCAGCCCAAGAGGGGAGGGGCTGCGGGGGGCTCTAGGATCCTAGACAGCTAAGCCCTCGGCGCCAGGCTCTAGGATCCCAGACAACCCAGACAGCTGAGCCCCTTGGTGCCACCAACAGGGGGCTGTGTGTGCTCTGGGGTATCTGGGAGCACACACAACCCCACCCCTCGATGGGCAAGAGGGATAAAAGGGCCATTCCCTGGCCGATCGGGGCCAGTCGCAGCTCAAGACCCAAGACCGGCCAGCTTAGGACCCTGGACCCCCTCGTCCCGCTTGTTCTTGTCAGGGCCGGGACGCTGTGCGGGCCAGTGGTGGGACTCTGGGACTCCCTGCTCTACGTCCTTGTAAGGGCGAGTTCCGAGGAAGCCAGAGTCTAGATCCGCACCTTGGCTGGGTCGGGTCAGGTAGCCTCCCCTGGGGTAATTGTAGCCGGAGGACCCGAGAGCGTAGCTAGAGTAGGCTGTGTCCCTAGGCTGTGTCCCTAGGCTGTGTCCCTAGGCTGTAACAGAGTATCATGACTGTTGGAGTGTTGTATTGTAACAAAGAAGTTACCTCTACAAGCGTCTCCGGAACCCATTACACTTGTAATGCTATTGCTTTAACACATCATAACATAATTATTGATTATTCATCAAAACATAAAAAAACTATTATTGACTCGAGCTGCGAGCCCGAATTTAAGCAACTTGTTGAGCACTCTCCTTCTCTTCTCAGACAGTCTGGACCATCCTACTCGCATTCACAACCTCAAAGCAGTGCCGGATTATCCTCGTAGCAAAAGTAGAATATGCTACTTATCAGTGTCTTATTATCCTAGCAGCAAAAGTAGCTACATATGTAGCTACGGGCCCTGCACTTTCAAGGGCCCGCGCTAAATGCTTTCAAGCTATCAATTCCGGTTCAGTGATTCTGCACTTGCTCTATCACTATAGTACTATACCACCTTCTACTTTTATGAACGACTGTGTGTTTAAGGTTATCGATTTGTCATTATCTGGCTGTATAGCCAATGAAAAAATACAATTACTTTACTGTGCAAGTAAAAAATGTATGTTTTAATATGTACGTGCTTTTTTTTTACAAAAAATTAAGGGCCCCTTTATAACATTATTTGCTATAGGCTCCACACGTTAACCTCACGGGGCATTGCGGTTCAACTGCACGTCGCTATGTTGTCGGTGTCTTGATCATTGGCTCTGAGGGTTAGTTTCTAGCGGTGATGAGTTGATTAGTACAACTTGCTGTATAAGTTAAGGTGGCTTGGGACTGATTGGCTGGACTTCTGGGTTCTCTAAGTTGAGGTCTCACGTTCTCCTTCTTCATCGTTGGCCTCATCTCCTTGCTCTGCCGGTGCAACTTGACCTGTTTAATAAAGAGAGGTAAGTGATGAGTGCGTGATGAGGCGAAGTGAGCAGTGTAGGATTGTGCAATACGTGCATAGATAACGAATACAGGTACGTGTATAACAGCCGTTCACAACGTGGCAGTGACGTCACAACCGCGCTTGTGCCATGATCAGTGCACTTTGAGGTTCCGTGATTTGTCAAAGGTTCACTGGCAGGAGGTTCACGGAACAGACCCAGGTCTCATTGGATGACTGAGATGGCTGGCACTGTCTCCAAGTTGTCTACCCTATCCTGGCCACGCGATTCCTAGCGTCCTGCACGTGCCCCTGGATGCATCGTAACGGGGGGGGGGGGGGGGGGGGGCTTCATTCCAACCTCAAGCACCCGACTCGTGAATCCAAGTCACTTCCCGTGCCATGACAAACTTGCGTAACGAACATAACTGTCCCCCATGATATAGCCTTGACCAGTCAGTCGAAGCAAGTGCTGCTAGCGAGTAACACCTCGAGAGGGTGATGTGGCCAGCACCACGCCCGGCCGCCTTTGTTCCTAGCGCAGGGCGCGCACACAAACACGCACACAGGAAGAATGACCCTGACGAGTGGCTCCTGCCTCCAGCCTCTGTCGCTCTCACCTGATCTTCCTTCTGTATCATCTTCAACTCGGTTCATTGGCTGCATTTCTTGAGGCCCTGTTGAGAGAGAAGTGGAAACGCGTCGATCACACATCCCCACCCTCGCCCACCTGCAGCCTGTGTCACTGGCACGGCTGGGAGTCTAACCCACGCATCACACCTGCTTGGCACCCGCATGGAACCACTGACCATAGCAATCACTGACCCGGATTTGACAGAAATAATTTGTTTAACCACGTGAGAGCCCACTGAGATAATTTCCTCTTGTGATGTATGTGTTTTATTTAACCACATGAGAGTCCATTGAGTTCACCATCTCCTATGACTGACGCCATCTCACATCACCACCCCCACTCATATGGAGCCCCTGTCACTGACAGCAGCCACGGCTGGGAGTCTAACTCAGGGGTCCCAAGCTGCCAGGAGCTCACGCAGGCTCCACTAAGCACAGCTCTTAGTCACGGGCAGGCAGGGAGCTGGAGTCAAACTCAGGCCCTTCGAGAGAGCCGGCTCAGGGTCTCTGGCGTGGCCATAGTGAGCCGTGTTCTATCACTCACTGTGAGGTTCTGGTGCAAGTGCAGTCGATACTCACCGGTCTGCTGGTTCTCTTGTCTGACTTGGTCTCGTCCTCCTCCTCTTGCAGTACCAAACAACTCCAACCAGAAGAGCAATAACCAGAATGACTCCAAGGACGATGCCAGCTACAGGTGATGGAGCTGGAGCTGGGGTTGAGGTTGGTGTGGGTGTTGTGTCTGTCAGTTCTATTAAACACAAACACAGACGACACAGCAACACGTGAACACCCAAGAGATGCACACAGTCAACGTCTTCTTCCTCTTCCTGCCATGTCCCCCTCCTCTCGTGCGGTCTCTGCCCTGCAGCTCCTCCTGCTCTGCTCGTTGCTGCCTTGGGCCACCTCCGCGTCTACTCCCAGTCCCTCGAATCCGCCGCGTTCGCCACTTCTACTCCCCTCACTCTCGGCCTGCCCCTCTGTCTCCACCCTGGTGCCTCCACGTTCATCGCCCTCGCGGTTGCCCCCTCCTCTACTAAGGCAGCCCCAGCCGTGTGAGGCGACTCCCTCTCTCCGCTCGAGTGAGATGAGCACCGCCACTCCCGCCTCCGTCCCCAGCTCTTCAGTTCTGACCGATCCAGTCCTGTGATCGCTGAGATCCATTGCACCATCCTCGTTTCTGTGCTACTCAACGTCTGCTCCTCCTGGTTGTCAGGAGGAGCAGACGCGCTGTGAATTTATCGAACGCGCGTTCTGGGTCTACGCGGTGCAAAACTTAATGAGGCCTGTTTTCCGGAACACCGGCGGGGTGATGTATCGGCTGGATGCTGCTAAGAATCTCATCTCCGTGTCGAAAAGTAGTGCCGTGAGGGTGCTGCATCCATTGAAAGGTGTGAATTAATCTACTGTAATAACGATTTAATTAGCACGCATGTTTTAGTGTGCGTGTTTTTGAGAGTCTTGTGTGTGACAAAGTAACACACTCGACATGCACAGCGATGCAATGGGAATGTTCACAGTGCCACAAGCATCTCGCCATCCAGTCTTTGAGAACTTTAGATGGCCGCCTAGATGGCGAATCGGCGACAGTCAGGGGCGAGCGTCGGGCTGGGAAATAATTGTCAGGGGAAAGCATTGGATGCGAGTTTTGCGATGCGGGGATGAGACGGGGGTTTCATGTTAAGGAGTGTACACACGCAAGAAATGGAGAGTGACTTAGCATCCTTTAGTACAAATACAAGCACAGAAATCTTGTAGAATTAGTAACATAGAGGGAGGGGTGATCATTTCGGGCCCACAATGTCTATAATTATAATTATCTGTCGAACGCGGTTCTGCCTAACAAGTAATTTTCTAGGAACGTAACCCCAGCGTCCGGCGAGGCCTGCCTGTGAATGTTAAATAGTGACGGTGCTATAACCCAGCCTAGATGAAGGCCATTGTTCATGATTCTCTTGCGGCTGTGTTCACCAGCGAGGTGTTCACCCTCAACGCACGGTTCGCCGAGCATCGTGATCATTAGGTGAACGGTAGAAAAGCATTTGATGAGTTTTTGGGCCAACTTCGTCAGCAGGCAATGACGCCAAATGGAGTCATGGACAGCCAGCAGGAGAGGTCAATCATCGCTGTGCCGGTTTCCTGTTGATGCCGTAAATCGCCTTGCAGCTCCCACATCGGCACTTGAAATGAATTCGAATCATAAACTTATTCCCTGAGTAGAGCCCCTTGAGCTAAAAAGCTCTTTTTCTGACATCAAAACATTCCACATCCCACAAGTGGACAACAATCTCATGGGACACAGAGAGAGACAGGAACTCAAGCTGTCATTTGCTCATGTAGACAACTCAACAAAGAGTCGAGTTTCTTAAACTACAGGATGTGATATCTGTGAGGAATAACAAAGACCCTTTATGGCTGTGCCACAGAGTGAATTTTAGTGGTAAATGCTAAGGCGGTGGGTGTTAAATAGATCCAGGGAGGACATAATGCAAACCTGGTTCATTGTGAACGTTCAGCTGCAGATGCCCGATGTCTTTCATGGTTGGCTTGTCGTATTGATAAATCGTGACCTCACAGCGATATCGTCCAGTGTCGTGGGTCTGGATGTCGCTGATGGTGATGGAGGCGTCACACGTGGACTCATTACCCACCCACGTCACCTGCAATGGCCTGAGGCTTCTCTTACTGTGTATGATCTTATACACCTGTGGTCGACAAAGGTGAGAACACGTACAGACAAACGTTGCAATTCAAGGGTGGGATTCTCTGTACATATGATGGACATGCTCATTGTGAAAAAACTGTTTAACATCAACGTTTCCTATAACAGTCAAACAAAATAACCCAACATTTTGGGCAATGGCTCTTCTTCAAAGTAGAAAGAGAGATAGAGCATAGAAACGGATACAATTATAGTTGGATATCTTGAGTTAAAGCTTTCGTGACTGCAGAAATTAATATTCTTTGGGTCGCTACACAAGCGATCAAAACGTCGTAAATTTTTGTTATTTTCTTTGAACCTATCTACGTGACTTTACCGAAAGACCCAAAGAATATAGTTGGATATTTCAAGGTAAAATATGGTGTCTGTAAAATGTTGAAGTTTAATGCCCATGGCCCATCAGCAGTGGAGAATGATAAACCTTCTACTACTACATATTAGTGTAATGTGAGGATATATCCGGGTGGTTGATTGATCACACCTCGTTACGATGATTGGCTCTACCGGTCCTGGCCCATAGCCAATGAGGAGAAGTCTAGGGGCGTGGCCCTGACGTAATGGGAAGGTGACATCTGCAAGTAGAGGATTGGATCTGCTGGCTTTAGCCACAGCCAATGGGGGGACGAGTCAGGGGCGTGGTCCTGGGATCGTACGATGGAGTCTGGAATATTCCATGCAGGTTAACCAGGAATGGGGGAAAGGTACCACGTGACCCGGGTATTAAAAGGGGTGGAGACGGACAACACGTGGTCAGATCTGGAACGAAGGGTGAGGCCACGCTGGAGCAGGGTCCAGGCCTGCCACGTGGCAGCGCGAGTCTCTCTCTCCCTCTCACGCTGTCTGTTAGCAGCGTGAAGGAGTAAGACAGGAGTGTTGTGAACGAAAGACAAATAAAGACCCTGATTCCAGAAGTCGCTTCCACGACCTTTATTACATTAGCATGAAAGGTCGTTAATAGTTACGTTTTAGTAATTTTTGCGTGCAGGGTTTAGTCAGAGGGGTGAAATATGGGTGTGCAACTGTAATTGTAACGCACCTTCTCATTGTGTCCGCCTATGGTCCTGAACCACTCCACCAGCGTCCTTGTAATGTTACTGATGGTGCAGGTGTAAGAGCAGGGCAGGAGAACCGTGCTGCCTACTCTGGACTCAACTGGGGTGACAACGGCCAGGTCTGTGGACAAACCCACGATATTCACATTAGCAATGGGATAGAAACTTGGAGGAGGTGTGCTCACAACAGAGAAAGGGCAAACACTTTGCAGGACACTAAACATCCCATTGGATGACTAGCAGAGCAGTGCAATGCTGCATATTAGAGAACGGCCCACGGAAGTGGATATCTTAGAGCTACCTCTGAGGTCCCATTAAGTGGTGCCACGGTGGCGAGATATTAACTACCTCGCCTGGTATACAGGGGGTCGTGGTTTGGATCCCGATCCTGATGCCTGTATATTTAAAGTTTGCATGTTCTCCCCCTGGTCACATGGACTTTTTCTCCGGGACCTCCGGTTTTTCCCTCGATATTTAGAATAAACACGCGTATAGAGTTATTTGGCTGCTATAAATGTCCACGTGATAAGCCACTTTGTTGAGCTACTATCATTTGTGGCCTGGTAACATAAAAAGTAGTTTAGTTTAAGAGACATTGGAGCCACACAGCAGGGAGGATTGTTTTCCCATAGTGCACTGCAAAAGCGAGTAATCTTTGATGCATGAGACCCAAGCCGATATGCAGGAAAACCTGCCCAATTCGGCTTTGTCAAACACGTGTTTCGGCTCTACGGTTTGCCTGAGGTCGGTTTTTCCGGAACACTGGGGTGATGGTCCGGCTCTGCATGGTTTAAAGCTCAGTTTAACATCAAGGCTTTCGCGACCATTATTATCCATAAGAGGTTTATTTTGGGTAAGATCACATAAATATAAATGTGTCGTTAAAACTGCCACCACCCGACACAGCCAATTAGTAAGGGTTGCTAATTCGTTACTACAGTACACCGGTGTGTTGGAGAGTAAATGCACAACATTTACAATTTGAGTATGACGTTGAGCCAGTAATTATAACTAGCATCATCAGGTGACAGCCAGATTTGTGGAGAAATCCTCCTGTTCCGTTCCTAAATAGAGGGATAGATGTGATGTCGTCACTTGTGAGCCCCTGGATGACACATTGATGGTCAGGCCACACGGCAAAGATACACTTAAAGAATTTCTAATTAATCTCAACTCGCAAAACCTGTCCATCCAGTTCACTTTGGAAGTTGACAGAACAGTGTTTACCGAAAGAAAACGCACACTGACGCCTGTCTGAATGCAGTCACACCATCACCCCGCACAGAAATTTGCTCTTATCAAGACGCTCAATTATCAATCTAAGAAAGTGTCAGATGGTGACAGTCTGAGAAGTTAAATTAAACATGTTAAAGAAGTGCTGCAATTGAATGGTTACAGTGATGCACAATAAACAGGGCACTGAATGCCAAAACCAAATCAAATAACACAAGCGTTGAAACTACCCAAGTAATTACAACTTTTAAAATACCGTACATTGCGGGAGTAACTGAACTAGCCAGATCTTTTTGAAAAACAAAACATCCGAGTCAGATCTGGCACAGTACATAAAATACAGAAATTAATATCTGGTACTAAAGATCTATTACCGAAGCTATCAACAGAAGGTGTGTATCAGATTAATTGCTCTTGTGGAAAATGCTATGTTGGTCAGACAGGACGAATGATCAGCATGAGACGAAAATAACAGCAAAGGAATATTAAATACTCCTAAATACAACTGTTGGCAGTGGCATAACACGCGTGCCAACAAGGACACTCAATTGATTTTGATCATGTTGAAGTTCTGTGCAAAACTAGTTACTGCTGGCCAAGACTAATTAGAGAATCTATCGAAATTTAGAGAAATAAAAATAATTTAACCGTTCGGATATTTAAAGACTTAGTGCCGCTCAGAAGCGAATCATCAAATAATACATTAATAATAGGGGTGTTTACCCTTTTTTCTGGCAACAAAACTGACACATTTTTTACAAGGAATCATGTGTGCATTAACCACAATACTTGTGGTCAAAATGCAAACAAAAAACACACTGATAATATATGCATTGTCCTTGAAACTGATTGGTCCACACCAGAGACAGCTTTCGTTTGAGCCTCGTCTCAATTGGTGCTAGACCAGAGGACGCCAAAAAGCGTACAGCACAAAGACAATGCACTAACAAAGTACATAATGAGGACTCGGGGTAAGCATCTACATCATTATACCTCCTTTGCCAGTACCAAAGTTTGCACTTTGACCACAAGTATTGTGGTTAATGTACACATGATTCCTTGTGAAAAAGGTTTACGTTTTGTTGCCAGAAAAAAGGGGAAAAGCCATATTATTATACTTTGGTACTGGCAAATGAGATCTAATGATGTAAATAATACTTAGTACTGCGTGGAAGCGAATCATCAAATAATACATTGTTTAAATGCATGCCTTACAGGACACCATACGTCGATGGTGATTTATTAACTGTGAGCAGACAATAACAGGCACTGCGATTTTCGTGCACACAAACGATAGGATGTACAAGAACAATGTGCATGCACAATGTGCGTTGATTACCACATGAATAACCCAACCGGTGATGGATAGCCATTGTAATTCATATGCATTCATTAATCCCCCCTCTGGCCTTTGTACCATGAGGGGCTCGTAAGAGATGCCATCACATCTACCCTCAGTTTAAGAACGAGACAGGAAGATTTCGACACAAACCTGACTGTCGCCTGATTATGCTAATTGTAATGACTGGCGAAACGTCGTACTTAAATTGTAAATGTTGTAGATTTACTCTCCAACACGCCAGTGCTGTACTAGTAACATATTGGCATGTTCCGTTTACGTGACAAACCTTACGAATAGGCTGTGTTGGGTGGTGGCGTGTTTAACAACACATTTATATTTAATAAAAAACCTCTATTATGGATTAATGCTGCTAAGATTCTCATCCCCACATTGAAAAGTGCTGCATCCATTGGAAGGAATTAATCGACTGTAAGAATTATATATTTACATGTATGTTTTTGTGTGTGGTAGCGTAACACACTCAACATGTACAACACAAATGTTAACATATTGCTGCATGCATCTAGCCATAAATTTGCTGATGACGTCATATAAATGCCTTGATGGTGGATGATTTAACATTCAAGTACCATGGTGTGAGTGCCGTGGTACGGAAAGAGGAATGGAGACGGGGGTTTTGTGTTGAGGCGATAGTGAAAACTAAAGAGTGCACACACACACAAGAAATGGAGAGCGACTCAGCATCCTTTAGTACAAAAACAAGCACCAAAAATATTTAGAATTTGTAAATCAAAGAGGAAGGGGGTGATGATTTTGGACCCAGGAACGCAACCATAGCTTTCCCCTGAGGTCTATTATTTGCCGAACGCTGTTTAGCCCAACGTGCCATTTTCCAGGAACGTAACCCCCACGTGAGACGAGCTCTGCCTGGTTTAACTGTTAAGAGCTTGGAATTAGCCAAATTAAGTGCAATGTCAGATAAACAAACAATGTTATGATGTTTGCCAAGTACTGTTTTTATTTATTCAATAATTTCACCTGAATAAACCGTTGAAAAGGAACATCTGTTTACAAGGGTGCCCAGGGGACCAGGCTAAGATGACAAACTCATGAGACTCTACATCCGGATTGTTTGCTAATTGAACACTGAAAGTGAAGAGTCACAGGCAGGAGTTGAACCCAGATGACCATGGATCTAGGTGCACGGTTCTGTCACATGTACATATTCATATTGAACTGTTTTCACACCGTAAGTAACAAAGCATGGAGGTGCGGGGGAAGGACAACATACCAAACACAAAAGCCAAAACGTGGAGTTGTCGGGTGGCTATTGAGTGGTAGGTCTGGGCTACATGACAGATGAATGGGAGTAGTGAGTGGTAGGACAGACCTATGAAGGATGTGATACAAACCTGTTCGTGGGTGGACAGTCAGCTGTAGATACCCAATGTGGTGTTGCCCAGTTTGGGAAAAAACCGTGACCTCACAGCGATATCGCCCAGAGTCGTGGGTCTGGATGTTGCTGACGGTGATGGAGGCGTCGCACTTGGACACATCACCCACCCAGGTGGCCTGTAAAGGCCATTGTATGTTCTCTCCCTCGGAGAAGTGATAAATCTGTGGTCAATAACGGTGAAAGCAACACAAATATCAAATGTGTTATATTATTTTATTATAAAATTCGTTCAGATGTGTTGTATGTGTTGGGTTATGAAATGTTGATGAAAATAATAAAAAATAATAATTTTCCAAAAAATGCGCAAATCGCATTAATTATGTTAATGTGTGCAGTTAATATGCATAAATTATGATAATGTGAGTAATTATATGCATAAATTATGATAATCACGGAGATAATCGTAGTAATGTATGCGGATGCTTACGACTATGTTAAATGTGTGCAGTTATGATAATTAGGCTTAGTTTCGTTTATCCAGAGTTATATCAATCGGAATAACACGATTATCATTGATTAAACATTTACCGATTATCTTAGTGTGTTTTATGTTATTTTAGGTCTCCAGTTTCAGATCTCATCACAGGATACAGTACTCAAGAATAAGACAGTTTTGCATGGACTTGGAAGGAACACTCGATATGCTTCTGTTTTAACAATTTTATTCTAAACAGCATGTGACATTCTAACATGCAGGTCAAACATGCGTCAATAATTCATGAGCAAGATTATGCAATTAACGAAAATGGATGACTAAAACACTTCTAACAATCGTAACCTCTACCTTTCCACCAGGTATCTCATTAGTTCCCCCATGTATCGATCACAATCGGCGGCTGGCCGAGTTTGAAAACCAGCATGACACACTTCATATGGCGGTAATAAAAGCACTTATTGTATCCCAGAGGCGAAAGTCTATGTCAATAGATTCATCGGCAAGTATAAAATCCTTTTAACGGAATGTTTGATATAATGGTGGGTGAGGGCGTGTGTGGTGGTGTGAGAGCGAATCTGGCTCTGTTTTAATTAATTCTTCGGCGAGACTCTGACAAAGAAACCGGTTTGACAAGATATTCTCTGTGCGCTTCCTTGAGTCTGTGTGTGGAGAGCGATACGACCGATTAGGAGATTCCTCTGTCCGTGCGAGTTGCAGCCGAGACTTTCTCCGCTGCGAGGTGAGCGGCGGCGCTTGGCGGCGCTCGTTCTGAAGGTTTTGACTCTCTTTCTCCACTGCTCGATTGATTTTGCACGACGCTCGCCGTCGTGTTGCGCGATGATTCCGTCCTCGCTGCTGGACGTCTTGTGGTGCTCACTGGGTGTTGGTGTGCATCAAACACACTGCGCATTCGATAGCTCTTGCTCTCTCTTGGTGGCAGCCCCCGGCTTCTCCACTGCTGGACGATTGTTGAGTCGGCACGATGCTCGCCGTCGCTCTGGATGTATAGTCTGTTCTCACTGGCCGTTGGTCGGTGTGCGCCTCAAACACACGGCGCATGCGTTGGCGCTGTCCTCTTCCTCACAGCCGTTTGACCAGGCTTTCTCCACTGCTTCGCGAGCTCTGCTTTGCTCGCTTGGCGATCTCCGCCTTTCCTGCGGGTTGTTTGCTGGTCGTCACTCTGACGAGGAGCGATGCTTCGTTCGTGGCAGGGTGGACGTTGGTGTCTTTGTTGGCTCGGGAGTTGTAGCTGGAGTCTCCGTCAGCTTCACTCGCAGCTCGGCGACTCAGGGTAGCGATTCTTCTCAGGTGGTGCAGACCTCGGCTTGTTGCTGCACGTCGCTACCCCGCGAACCTCGTCATTCTGGATGACGGAAGAGCTTCTTCGTTGTCGGCGTTGAGATGAGATGGGCTGTAGCCCTGGAGATCTCTGGTGGGGGCCAGAGCCCTGAAGATCTCTGGTGGGGCCCGTGGCCCGGACGATCTGTGGTGGAGCCGAAGCCCTGACGATCTGGTGGGGGCTGAAGCCCCGGCGACGAGATGAGGCCCAGAGCCCCTGACGAGATGCTTTGAATGGATTTTGCCTTAGCTTATATTTGGAAAATCCACTAGTTTTTGTTTTTGAGTTGTTCAAAAGGCTGTGTCATAAAACATTCCTGTGGGGGTGAACGCATATGCGTCCGTGTGTGTTTGTCCATGTGTGTTAGTCCGTATGTTTATTAGCTTTGAAGACACAGCTGTGTAATTATTCTGGAAGGAGGGGTGGGGGCCTCGTGACGGCGCCACCTAAGTTATCCATTAACCAGACCGACGATTCGCGTTCGCATCGAGTTATATATATAAAAAAAAAATCTAATCCATGTTTTTGTTTCTGAATAATATTTGTCGCGAAAACCTACGCGTTAAGCGAGCTTAATGATCTCCTCCCTTGCTCTGGGCGTTATCTTTTGTCTCACACAGCTTAAGTTGTTTTGGTTTGGAAGTTGAAATGCGCTTAGTTCCATTATGCCCAAGTTATGCCGAAACCGTGTTCACGATGTTTCATCGTGACCCGATCTCCCATGGAAATGTTATTTGCTCGCGTGTGCAAATCCTGCTGTCCGTGTTGGAACGCCCTGCACGTGTTTTATTTATTAATTTCCTTTCTCGAGTCGTTGCCCGCACGCTACGATCTTTATGGGGCCATTTCCTGGCTTTGTGCCTGCGTGTGGAGATCCTCTCGGAAAGACAAAGACGGCCGTGTTTGCTCGCTTCTCATGGGGTGTTGCGTTTGGTTAATTATGAGAGACTTCTCCGCCCTTAGCTCCTCTAGGAGATCCACTTTAATTCCGTAATTATTATTTGACTTCTTGTGAAGTCAAATGCCATAATTATTTTTTTTCTTTAATGCTTCGGCCCGGCCGTGTAGAAATTATTTAAAGGTAAATAATGTCAGTATTTAATTAACAATGATGGGTCGCGACCTTGGTGCCGACTGGTTTCCACTTGGAGTGAGGATAGATATTGTTTGCCTAATCTTCATGGCTAAGTTGGTAACTTGTTTATCTAACATGGTTCAAAACCCGTCTGTGTTTTTTTTGTTGTCGATGCTATTTCCTTTGTTAAGAATATAATTATCTCTTCCTCCGTGGTGCCTGGTTTTGTAAGGCTTTTTAACGAAAGGATGTCATTCTAACCCCCGCCTGCAATTCTCCCCTCCCTTGTTCCTCTTGTGTGAAATTAGGGGAGTTTTTATGACCTTTATTGCCCTCTGTCATGCCCTCTAGCCCTTTGAGGTAAGATATGCGCGCATCTGTGGGAGTGTGTGAGTGTGTTTGTTCCCCCATGTTGCCCCGTGTCTATTAACAAAAATATATTGTATATGTTGGCAGAATAATCCTTAAAAAAAATAATATAAAAAAAATAAAAAGGGGGTATATACACAACAGATGAAACCCGAGAATGATTATGTCTCCAGGGCTGCGACTGAGCTGGATTAACTGTTGACAAAGGATATTCACGTGCAGACTGTTTTCAAATGACTGGCCCATGTCTCCACCCAGTCATGTGACCAGGGGCCCTCGATCTGGATAGAAAATACCAAACCTGTTCATCTGCGTTGGATATTGTAAATGCTCAAGGGTCATGTGACCAGGTTTACTAACAAGACTGATCAATTTCACGCTTGTGCTTGCTGCAATTGATCGGCAAATGGCGCACAGAACAGACAGAAGTAACTCACCCTCTCTTCACACCCGTTGATGATCCTTAACCACTCCACCAGCTTGGTGGTAACGCCGCTGATTGTACAGGTGTAGGAGCAGGGCAGGATTAATGTACTGCCTGCCATGGCGTCCATTTTATCAGGGGTCACAACCACGAGTTCTAGAGAAACCACACACACCGCCCACAGTAATGTATATTTTCCTACGTAATATAAATGTATAAACGCTAAACATTTGTCAGTAAGAATGTGTTTTCAAAGTACAGAACAGGCAGACCTCGTCGAACGCAGGGGGTTACGTTCCTGGAATGCCATGTTGGGCACAACTTTGTTCGACAAAAAACAGACCTCATGGGAAGACTCGGGTTGCCTTCCTGCCTTCCAAATGATCACCCGCTCCCTCTTTGTTTAACTAATACTACAAGATGTCCGCCCTCGTCATTGTACTAACGGATGTTGAGTCGTTCTCTTTGTCCATTTCAACGCAACACAAAACCCCCATCTCAATTCTTCCCGCACCACGGCACTCACACCCTACGCTCGCCACTAACACTGTCACTTGAACATGTAATGATTCACCATCTAGTCGTTCGTATGACTAACGTTCTCAATAACTAGATGCATGCGGTTATGTGTGAATATTTTACGTTGTGCTGCTGCTGTGTGTTTTCAGTGCATTACATTATCACACAAAAACCATAGCCACACGTTCACACAGACATACACGGTAAATACATCGTTCTCACAGTCGATTCAAATATTCCAACGGACGCAGCACTCTCATGGCACTACCTTTTTTCTTATGCAGATACGAAAATGTTAGCAGCGTCAAACTGCGTATCACTGAAATACCACCCCTGTGTTGTGGAAAACAAACCCCATTAGACACAACCGTCTAGAGCCAAAGCACACGTTAGATGAAGCTGTGTTGGGCAAGGGTTTCCTTTGTATATTTCTTTGTTACCAAATGTTATCCCTGTGTCCCGCCACTAATATACACATTAATTTGGATTGCTCACAGAGAACAGTCCGCAGAGCGATTATCACAGAGCTAACTCTGAGATTCCTTCAAGGGATCTCTGCTGGTCCACACAGTTGGGAGCATGACTTTCCCAAATTGCTCTTCCACATGGAACAGCGCTTATCGCGTGACAATCAACCAGATTCGTTATAATTCTCAGAGATTTAATTTCGTCAATTAAGTGCAGAATTGCAGAAGGGGGGGCTTAGTCCATCAACTCACTCGACTTGAGGACTCGGTTAACTCGCAGACAAATGTCTGGACTTGAACCCATGATTCTGAGTGGCGCTAGCTCAGCACTCTGACCTGGGTCACCTCCTATGCGACGTTGTTTTAAGACTGCGTCAATGTCGGTGAGGAGCAGTAAAGGTTCTGATGTACATTGGTGGTGATGAGATCGTAGCTAGGGGTTCAACTCAGTTCACCATGGCACATGGTTTTAAAGTTTACATATTGAGTTCTATATCAGGTCTATACGATAGATGATAGAGTTATGAGTGGTAATAAAGACATTTTAAGGAAATAACACAAACCTGATGGACTGGTGACATTCAGCTGTAGATACCCAATGTCGTGCTTGTTTTGTGGAAACACCGTGACCTTACAGCGATATCGACCAGAGTCGTGGGTCTGGATGTCACTGACGGTGATGGAGGCGTCGCACTTGGAAAAATCACCCATCCAGGACACCTTTAAAGGCCCACGGCTGCTATTTCCATTGGGGAATAGATAAATCTGTGGTCAACAAAAGCAAGAGCATGCACAGATCAAAGATGTATGTATGTTGTATGTATGTTGTATGTATGTTGTATGTATGTTGTATGTATGTTGTATGTATGTTGTATGTATGTTTACTTCTTTGGCACAGTACATAGGCAACCGTGCTAATTGGAGGTGTGAGAGAAGGACAACAAACTAAACACAAACAGCAGTTTTAAATAAACGAGTTTTCAATCTAGATGATGATTTAAAAGTGTGTAGTTCCAGTGGCTTCCTAATATCGGAAGGCAGAGCGTTCCAGATGGCTGCAGCAGCGCATGTGAGACCGCGCGATGTGGTGACCATCTTTGTTCGATGGCTAGCCAAAAGCCTCTGAGGATAACCGGAGTTCGCACCTAGAATGAATAAGAATGTCTTTATCACGTGTTGGACGCCTTTTACCGGAATCGAAATACAGGAGGTTGTAAGATGTAGAGTTAACACGGTTGGCTACGTATCATGCGAAAGAAGTTCAACGTACATACATACGCAAGAGCTGGATACGAGCTTTACATTCGTGGTCATATTATGGACGTTATGACATCACAATGCCATGTGACGTCATAGCTTTTGTACATATCAAACAGTCTAGCAGCACATGCATGCTAATTGCATTGTCTACCAAAATGTATATCAATATAACCCATAAGATAGAGTATTTTGAGACGGGGTTTTAGATCATCCACCCTTCACCACTGGCTACATATGCATAGAGTCCTAGAATGAACGTGAGCAGATACAGCAGTAGCTGTAGCGCACTATCGGGCAGTCCTCGACTTACGAATATAAATAGTTCCTGTGACACATTCGTAAGTTGAATGTTCGTAAGTCGATGACTGCAAGTACATGGTTCCAGTGATGTAATGTTTTTTTATTTAACTTGTATTGTTTTTGTATATATTCTAATGATCAAGATAAATTACCATTATGTACTATTAAAATGGAAAAACAATTATTAATTTTAATAATAGGTTAAATCTATGGGACCTTTTTGCCAGTATCAAAGTGTAGGAGTGATTGTCAATCACCATTCAACAGTCCTGCAGTTCCACTTACTGTCAATAGGGTGCAGAAGCGTTACCTCGCCAGGGCAAATGCCATGGGCCACAGAGAGGCCAACGGTGGATCCTGGTAAACGGATCCTAGGACACATTCCCTGGCCCCCCGGGTGGGGGGGAACCGGGGGAATGATGTCACCTTCCAGAATGGCCCAGAAGGTTCCAGAAGGAAGGCGTGGCCAGAGCGGAGCCGGCCACGAACGGGTATATAAGCCAGAGCTCTGGCTCAGTTATCTACACGCCAAGACAGAAGACCGGGCTGGAGAATCGGACCCTGGACCCCAAGCTCTACAGCCCTTCTAAGGGCTGGAGCTCAGAGAAGCCAGTAGTCAGGGGAGAATAGGTCCCTGGCAGAAAGGAGCCTGGACCCAAGCACTCCAGCCCTCCTAAGGGCTGGAGCTCAGTGAGACCAGTGGTCAGGATCCACAGACTAGGAGGTCAGGGTCAGCTAGCCTCCCCTAGATCCCAGCCGGAGGACGATAGGGAGCGTGTGACCAGAGTTAGGTCCCGTATAGTTCGGAGGCCATAACGCCTAGGTATCGGGTGAAGGGACCGATATATCCTTCATGCTAGGGACTCTGTAGTGAAAGACAATAAACAACGTGTGCCTCATAAAGAAGTTTATTCGTCAATATTTACAACACTACAAAAGTATGAAAAATAAGAAGATGTTTTACCCTTTCTGGCAATAAAACAGGAGGTGTTAAGATGTTCAAACACCAAATAGATACCTTATGCAAGGAATCAAGTCTGCATTATCCACACGTATATGTGGCAAAACATGCAAACAAAACATCTCACCTATAAAATTATTTTTTCGTCTGTCTGTGTACGCCTATCTTTGTAACGTTTTTAACTGACTATGTTGTTTATGTTCTAACAAAGTACACAAATACAAACACTTGCTATTAGTACTCTTTGGTTCTTTCGGTAAAGTCACGTACTTTACTGAAAGAACCAAAGAGTATGGATCCCTGCAGTCACGAAAACTTCAAATCTAACTTGCTATTAGTTTTTGCCCTTGGTCCAATCGAAACTAAGAAAATCACACTTTTTAACAAAGTACGCTGATCATATTGATAACTTTGAGTGCATTCCAAAAAATGCATCTGTGCATGCGCGGAACGCGACTCGCAGTTGCCCCTAGCAATACAAACACGCTTTGCTGAGCGATGATGGGAGGGAGGTTCTTAGCGTAAAAAATGCCAAAAAGAAAAAAATCAAGCCGCTCCAAGACAAACACAAAGCGAGAGGCGCTGTGGTGTGAAAAACAAACAATGGAAGATCAACGGCTGTCCCAACAGAAAACCAATAACGAAGGCACCTCAGCGGCACGAGCTGAGAAAACTACAGAGCAGCGTGCATCAAGACAAGCCAGAGACTGCACAGTTACTGCAGTAGCACAGGCTGAGGAAAATCCTGAACAGCGTGATGTCCTCATCTACCCCGCCCACCCCAATGTGTGCAGTTACTTCTATAGAGTCAGTAGATACTACCGTAGAGTCAGTAAATGCTACTATAGAGTCAGTAGATACTATTATAGAATCAATAGATACAACTATAGAATCAATAGATACTGCTATAGGCACTAGATACTACTGTAGAGTCACTAGATACTACTGATGCTATGGTATGTAGGGTGTGTAAGCATATATGCCTACAAAATAAATAAAAATTTGTGGGGGGAGGGGTAAAACTTTTTGATTCAGGACTTCTGAAAGGCTCTTATCGTTTCGTTGATGGACAAATGGCTTTTATGATAGTTTAGTGTTTGTGTATTATATATTATGTTTTTAAAAAAAAGATACGTTTTGAAATATATTTTTCCCCTTGGCCAAAGCCGGGTACTTCCTGCTAGTGCTCTGATAAATATTTGCAGTTTTTGAAACTGATTGGCCTACACAAGAGACAGCGTCTTCATGGCCTTGTCTTACCACCGGTTTTAGACCAGAGAACAACGCTAAAAGGTAAACAGTACAAAGACGATGCAAGTATCAGAGCATGTGTAGTGCAATAGCGCCGGCTGGTGGACAGCAGCGGCAACTGTGGTGGACAGACAGTACACACGCCGGTGAGGGTGTGCACGGTGTGTTTGCAGAAAGGCGGAACTAAGGCAAGGGTCACGGGGGACCCCATCCGGAAGCCTCTGGAACCTGCTAGCGGGTTCGAGAAGAGAGGCGCGGTCAGGGTGGAGCCAGGCCGCGCTGGTAGCATAACAGGAGCCGAGAGCGGGGAGCTCAGGGCTGCCGGTTCTGAGAGTGAACTCGACTCGTCGTTGCTGTCGTCTCGTCGCCGTCGTAGCTCATTTCTCCACTACAAAGGATAGTAGTTGGCTATCTCGGTCGGCGCCGTCAGTGTTAGATGGCAAGTGTTGTGTACAGGCTAGGCGGAGCTACTGCGGAGAGTGTGTGGATGAGACTGTGGAAGTTGTTAATAAAGAAGGTTCCTCCTATAAACTCTGTCTCTGAATCTTTGACACTACACCTGTGTAGCTCGGGTTTGAGCTGTTATATCTACGGGACCTTTTTTGCCGTTATCAAAGTGTAAAGAAGCTCCGACGAGACGCTCTTGAAGATGAAGGTATGATCTTTGTTTTCGTATGTGCGGGAGGTTCACATCTCTCCTACGAGTACTGCCAGTGTGGAGCCACCAACTCGTCTTCGCGCCAGGCAAGCACCCCAACTGTTCGTGACCCTCCCCTTTCATGTCTCCTCTCTCCCTGCCCTTAACTAGACAGTGCTTTACACTCCGCATGTTTAGCCATCCGGCCAACTGCTCTTAATTATCACAACCCATTCTATTTCTTGAATCCTTAACGTTTCTCTAAATAAATCCCCTACAAAAGTATGCAAAATAAGAATAGGTTTTACCCTTTCTGGCAATGAAATAGGTCTTCACTAATATTACACTATGGCACCGCACCCCTTACTCAGTGCACGCAGTCCTCGCCAAACATTCCTGGGAAATGCCGGGTTTGGCAAAACCGCATTCTAAAAAGTAACAGACCTCGTGAGAAAACTCGGATTGCCTTCCTGGGTCCTAAATGATCACTGAGAACAACAAACTTTGACTCAAAGCGACATGAACATCTGGCCATCCCATCAGATATCCCACCCATTGAACCCCCGGAACATCATATTGAGACCAGCCCTCCGACATGGAAAGAGGTGGAAAACACAGTTCGAAGGGCAAGAACAGCATCAGCCCCGGGGCCAAATGGAGTCCCGTACAAAGTGTATAAGAACGCACCAGACGTCCTGAGGTTCCTCTGGAGGCTTATGAGAACAGCTTGGCAAAAGAAGATAATACCCAAAGTGTGGCGTAGGGCAGGCGGGGTCCTGATCCCTAAGGAGAAGGATGCAGTGAACATCAGCCAATTCCGCCCAATCTCCTTACTGAATGTCGAGGGTAAAATCTTCTTTAGGATCATTGCCCAGAGGATGGCCGAGTACCTGCAAAGGAATGCGTACGTCGATACATCTGTACAGAAGGCAGGAATATCAGGGTTCTCTGGCTGCTTGGAACATTCCAGCATGATCTGGCACCAGATCCAAATGGCCAAGGTGGAGAAAAGGGACCTCCATGTAGTCTTCCTCGACCTTGCCAATGCATTTGGCTCTGTGCCCCATGTACTTCTGTGGTCTGCCTTCAGATTTTTCCACATACCGGACACCATCACAACCCTGGTGAAGTCGTACTTTCAGGATCTGCAGTTCTGCTTCACCACCTCAGAGTTCACCACCTCATGGCAATGCCTGAATGTAGGTATAATGGCGGGATGTACCATTTCTTCATTGGCATTCATAATGGCAATGGAGGTTATCATCAGATCCTCAAAATGGGTTGCTGGTGGACAGCGAGTCGACTCTGGTTTTCGCCTCCCTCCACTCAGAGCCTACATGGACGACATTACAACATTGACCACCACTGTCCCATGCACCAGGAGACTGCTCAGAAAACTCGAGGAGAACATCAGCTGGGCCCGTATAAAGATTAAACCATCCAAGTCACGCAGCATCTCGATTGTGAAGGGAGTACTCTGTGACCTGAAATTCTTCATCGGAGATGACCAAATCCCAACAGTGTCTGAACAGCCGGTAAAAAGCCTTGGAAGGTGGTATGATGCAAGCCTGAAGGACAAAGACCAGGTGCAACAGCTGCGCAAAGACATCAGTAGTAGCCTACAGTCCATCGACAACACCCAGCTACCTGGAAAGTTAAAGGCCTGGTGTCTGCAGTTTGGTCTCCTACCCCGGGTGTTGTGGCCCCTAGCAGTGTATGAGGTTCCAATCTCAACAGTGGAGAAGATGGAAAGAGGAGCCACGAGCTACTTAAAGAAGTGGCTCGGAGTTCCACGATGCCTTACCACCATAGGCCTCTATGGAGATGGTGTCCTCAAGCTGCCCCTCACCAGTCTAACCGAGGAATTCAAGTGTGCAAAAACCAGGCTCCAGATGACACTGAATTAATCTCGAGACCCAGTGGTGAGCAACAACGCGCCGACCTTGGCAACTGGGCGCAAATGGAGGCCAGGAAAAGCAGTCCAGGAGGCAACAGCAGCCCTCAGACATGCTGACATTGTGGGTCATGTTCAGCAAGGGAGAGGAGGCCTTGGGCTAACTAGCCGTGCTGCTTGGAGTAAGGCCACTGCACCAGAGCGGCGGAAGATGGTAGTGCAGGAAGTACGCCATCAGGAGGAGGCTGCAAGGTGGGCCAAGGCAGTCTCTCTTGCCAAACAAGGACAGTGGACTCGATGGGACAGTGTGGAGAAGAGGAAGATCAGCTGGAAGGATCTGTGGGCCATGGAAGCGAGGTGGTTGAGCTTTTCCATCAGAGCAACATATGACATCCTTCCAACACCAGTTAATCTTCACCAATGGTATGGTGAAGATCCGGACTGTGCCCTCTGTTCCATGCCAGCCAACCTCAGGCACATTCTCACAGGGTGTAAAACAAGCCTCACCCAAGGACGCTACACTTGGCGTCACAACCAAGTCCTTAAAAACCTTGCGTCCGCCCTGGAGGACAAGCGAGCTGCCACCAACTCCCTACCACCCCCAGCAGCATCACACCCCTTACGGACGACCTTTGTCCGCGAAGGGGCTAAACCACCGAAGAGCGGCTCTACACCAATAGAGCGAGACCAGCTGCGCTTGGCCCGCGACTGGAAAATGCTAGCTGACATTGGCCGGCAACTTGTGTTTCCTCCGGAGATCGCAACCACCACCCTAAGACCTGACATGGTGCTCTGGTCCCGTTCGCTCAAGAAGGTCTTCATCATTGAGCTCACAGTACCCTGGGAGGACTCAGTAGATGAGGCTTATGAGCGAAAACATCTGCGCTATGCCGATCTAGCTGCCGAAGCACGGCATCATGGCTGGAACACAGAAGTCCGACCAGTGGAGGTGGGCTGCAGAGGTTTTGTGGCAACATCCACAACCAGACTGCTTAGAGACCTGGGAATTAAGGGTCAGAGCCAGCGTTCGGCAATCAAAGCTGTATCGGAGGCGGCAGAAGGCAGCAGTCAGTGGCTCTGGATGAAGAGGAAAGACCCCAGCTGGGCCCCAAAGTGAGAGGGCCAGGAGGTATGCAGTCAACAATGCTTGACTCAGGGAGGAGGACGCCCCTGCCATGCATAGTCCCATGAGATGTTGGCTACCAACAACAAGGCAACTCCTATGACTAATTGGGAATGGGACGCAAGCGTAGGATTGATCACCCTGTCGCTGGCCGCCTTTGGGGAGGGTGTATAGTATGAAAGGCCGAAACATCCTAGGAACCAAAGGTTCACTACTGACGATGCGCTCCCCAAATTTCACCAGGCTCACTGTTCATGAACTCTTGGAAGTGCTTGCACAAAGGATAGTAACATCTCATCCTGTGTTCTTTGGAATCTCCCTCCCACTTTTCCATAACTAATTCGGCACAATTTCTGCCCTTGGCATTGTACTAACGGATGCTAAGTCGCTCTCCATGTATTGTGTGCCATCATCATCATCGCAATCTATGGGAAGATGGCCCGTAAGGTGTCCACTGCACATTTCGTCATTCATTTTCACTTCCCCTCTGTCTTGTCATGCCAATCTGCTTAAGTAGTGGCCACGTCTTTCTGGCACCAATCTCTTCTTATGTCATCATCAAGCCATTCTCTGTTAGGTCTTCCTCTCTTTCTGGTTCCTTCCATTTTTCTGAATGACATCACTTTGAATTTTCCTGTTGTTTTCCATCCTGCAGATGTGTCCAAATAGTGCCAGTTTCCTTATCATCAATGTCTGCATCATCAGGTTGTCTTCTTGCTGTGTGTGTTCACTCTTTGTTCTTCAATATAGCCTCAACACAAAACCCCGGTCTCCATTACTCTTCCCATACCACGGCACTCACGATGATGTTGGTCGCGAAAGCCTGCGTGTTAAACTGACTAACCTCCATGGGGAGGATACTTTTCTTCAAACCAGAAAATTGGAGATATTTCGAATTAAGAGGATGAAGCTGTTGTCTTCACTGGCGTTCCTCAAAGGATGCAGAGATTACGTTGATTGCCACATAAATAACCCAACCGGCAGTGAATACCCATTCTCATTTATATCCATTCATTAATCTCCCTGCCCCACATTGCGCAAGTGCTCACAAGTGATGTCATCACATCTACAATTCTGGTTGTCGCCTGATGAAGCTAGTTGTTATTACTGGTGAAACGTTGTACTCAGATTGTAAATGTTGTGGTTTTGCTCTCCAACACACTGGTGAGCTGTACTAGTAACGAATTGGCATGTTCTGTTTACGTGACAAACCTTACTTTTGTCTGTGTCGGGTGGTGGCGGTTTTAACAACGCATTTATATATTTACGCGAACTAACCCAAAACACCCTGTATTATGGATCACCTCCCGTGTTCCGACAAACAGACGCATTTGAAAAAGCCGTGTTGGGCAAGGTTTCCCGCATTTAGATGTCTTACTATGATAGAGAGATTTGAAACTCACCCTCTCTTCTTCACGTCCATCCCTCCTGAGCCACTCCGCCAGCGTGTGGTTAACGCCGCTGATTGTACAGGTGTAGTAGCAGGGCAGGAAAATCGTGCTGTTTGCTACAGCGTTCATTTTCTCTGGGGTGACGACCATAAATTCTAGGGAAACAACAACAAACAACGCCCACATTAGTACATCTCGTATGGAAAATGAGAATAGGGTTTACCCTTTCTGGCAATAAACAGGAGGTGTGTTAAGATGTTCAAACGCCGAATAAAAACCTTTTTTCAAGAAATTAAGTGTCGCATTGACCACGCACAGTACTTGCGGTGAACATGCAAACAAACATGGCTCTGATAATTAATGTGGCATTGTCTTTGAAACTGATTGTTCTACACCATAGGACAGACTTCTTCATGGCCTAGTCTCACCAGTGTCAGACCAGCGAATGCTAAAAGGCGAACATTACAAAGACAATGAACGTATAACAGCGTTTGTAGCTCGGGGTGAGCAGCTATATCACGTTCTGATGGCAATTGGACATCGGTGTTGATGAGATTCATAGCCAGGAGTTGAACTCAGATGTTGTTATCGTTATCGTGTCAACATGTCATGAGATCAGTTTAACACGTAGGCTTTCGCGACCAATATTATTCATATTTAAGGTTTTTTTGGGTTAGATCGCGTTATTTATAAATAAAGGTGAAAGTTTAGTGAGAGAGATTAAACATGTTAAAGAAGCACTAAGACAGAATGGCTACAATAATGCTCAAATTAACAGAGCACTGAATGCCAAATCACGAACGCAGTGCAGCACTGCTGAAAGCGATCAGATTGTTAAAACAATGAAAAATACCATACATCTCAGGAGTAACTGACAAATTAGCCCGTGTTTTGCAAAAGCGAAACATCGTAAGATTTGGTACAGTACACAAAATTCAAAAACTAGTATCTTGCACTAAAGACGAATTACCTAAATTATCAATAGAAGGTGTATATTGGATTAATTGTTTATGTGGCAGATGCTATTTTGGTCAGACGGGACGTAACATCAGCGTAAGACTAAAAGAACACCAAAGAAGTATTAAATTATCTCAAACACAACTGTCGTCAGTGGCAGAACATACTTGCCCACAAGGACAATCAATTGATTTTGATTAAGTTGAAGTGTTGTGCAAAACTAATTATTACTGGCCAAGACTAATTAGAGAATCCATTGAAATTGAGAGAAATACAAATAACTTTAATCGCTCTGACAGCTACAGGCTTAGTGCGGCCTGGAAGCGTAGTCCCCGAACAACCACAGTGTGCGGCGGCCACCAACAACCACAGCATGCAGCACCCCCCAACAACCACAGCCTGCAGCGTCCCCCAACAACCACAGCCTGCAGCGTCCCCCAACAACCACAGCCTGCGGCGCCCCCCAACAACCACATCCTGCGGCGTCCCCCAACAACCACAGCCTGCAGCGTCCCCCAACAACCACAGCCTGCAGCGCCCCCCAACAACCACATCCTGCAGCATCCCCCAACAACCACAGCCTGCAGCGTCCCCCAACAACCACAGCCTGCAGCGTCCCCCAACAACCACAGCCTGTAGCGCCCCCCAATAACCACAGCCTGCAGCACTCCCCAACAACCACAGCTTGCAGCGTCCCCCAATAACCACAGCCTGCAGCGTCCCCCAACAACCACAGCATGCAGCACCCCCCAACAACCACATCCTGCAGCGTCCCCCAACAACCACATCCTGCAGCGTCCCCCAACAACCACAGCCTGCAGCGTCCCCCAACAACCACAGCCTGCAGTGTCCCCCAACAACCACAGCCTACAGCGTCCCCCAACAACCACAGCATGCAGCACCCCCCAACAACCACAGCCTGCAGCACCCCCCAACAACCACAGCATGCAGCACCCCCCAACAACCACAGCCTGCAGCGTCCCCCAACAACCACAGCCTGCAGCGTCCCCCAACAACCACAGCCTGCAGCGTCCCCCAACAACCACAGCATGCAGCACCCCCCAACAACCACAGCCTGCAGCGCCCCCCAACAACCACAGCCTGCAGCGTCCACCAACAACCACAGCATGCAGCACCCCCCAACAACCACAGCCTGCAGCGCCCCCCAACAACCACAGCCTGCAGCGTCCACCAACAACCACAGCATGCAGCACCCCCCAACAACCACAGCCTGCAGCGTCCCCCAACAACCACAGCCTGCAGCGTCCACCAACAACCACAGCATGCAGCACCCCCCAACAACCACAGCCTGCAGCACCCCCCAACAACCACAGCGTGCAGCGTCCCCCAACAACCACAGCATGCAGCACCCCCCAACAACCACATCCTGCAGCGTCCCCCAACAACCACATCCTGCGGCGTCCCCCAACAACCACAGCCTGCAGCGTCCCCCAACAACCACAGCCTGTAGCGCCCCCCAATAACCACAGCTTGCAGCGTCCCCCAATAACCACAGCCTGCAGCGTCCCCCAACAACCACATCCTGCAGCGTCCCCCAACAACCACATCCTGCAGCGTCCCCCAACAACCACAGCCTGCAGCGTCCCCCAACAACCACAGCCTGCAGCGTCCCCCAACAACCACAGCGTGCAGCACCCCCCAACAACCACAGCCTGCAGCGTCCCCCAACAACCACAGCCTGCAGTGTCCCCCAACAACCACAGCCTGCGGCGTCCCCCAACAACCACAGCCTGCGGCGTCCCCCAACAACCACAGCCTGCAGCGTCACCCAACAACCACATCCTGCAGTGTCCCCCAACAACCACATCCTGCAGTGTCCCCCAACAACCACAGCCTGCAGCGTCCCCCAACAACCACATCCTGCAGTGTCCCCCAACAACCACATCCTGCAGTGTCCCCCAACAACCACATCCTGCAGCGTCCCCCAACAACCACAGCCTGCAGCGTCCCCCAACAACCACATCCTGCAGTGTCCCCCAACAACCACATCCTGCAGTGTCCCCCAACAACCACAGCCTGCAGCGTCCCCCAACAACCACATCCTGCAGTGTCCCCCAACAACCACATCCTGCAGTGTCCCCCAACAACCACATCCTGCAGCGTCCCCCAACAACCACAGCCTGCAGCGTCCCCCAACAACCACAACCTGCAGCGTCCCCCAACAACCACAGCCTACAGCGTCCCCAAACAACCACATCCTGCAGCGTCCCCCAACAACCACAACCTGCAGCGTCCCCCAACAACCACAACCTGCAGCGTCCCCCAACAACCACAGCCTACAGCGTCCCCAAACAACCACATCCTGCAGCGTCCCCAAACAACCACATCCTGCAGCGTCCCCCAACAACCACAGCCTACAGCGTCCCCAAACAACCACATCCTGCAGCGTCCCCCAACAACCACATCCTGCAGCACCCCCCAACAACCACAGCCTGCAGCACCCCCCAACAACCACAGCCTGCAGCGCCCCCCAACAACCACATCCTGCAGCGTCACCCAACAACCACAGCCTGCAGCACCCCCCAACAACCACAGCCTACAGCGTCCCCAAACAACCACATCCTGCAGCGTCCCCCAACAACCACATCCTGCAGCACCCCCCAACAACCACAGCCTGCAGCACCCCCCAACAACCACATCCTGCAGCACCCCCCAACAACCACATCCTGCAGCACCCCCCAACAACCACAGCCTGCAGCACCCCCCAACAACCACAGCCTGCAGCACCCCCCAACAACCACAGCCTGCAGCACCCCCCAACAACCACATCCTGCAGCACCCCCCAACAACCACAGCCTGCAGCACCCCCCAACAACCACAGCCTGCAGCACCCCCCAACAACCACATCCTGCAGCACCCCCCAACAACCACAGCCTGCAGCACCCCCCAACAACCACAGCCTGCAGCACCCCCCAACAACCACAGCCTGCAGCACCCCCCAACAACCACAGCCTGCAGCACCCCCCAACAACCACATCCTGCAGCACCCCCCAACAACCACATCCTGCAGCACCCCCCAACAACCACAGCCTGCAGCACCCCCCAACAACCACATCCTGCAGCACCCCCCAACAACCACATCCTGCAGCACCCCCCAACAACCACAGCCTGCAGCACCCCCCAACAACCACAGCCTGCAGCACCCCCCAACAACCACAGCCTGCAGCACCCCCCAACAACCACATCCTGCAGCACCCCCCAACAACCACAGCCTGCAGCACCCCCCAACAACCACAGTCTGCGGCGCCCCCCAACAGACTGGTCAAGTAAATCCTTACGAACTCGCACAGCGTGCGATGGGCCTTCATCCAGCAGTGGATTTAAGCACCAAAAAAACTCGAGTACTAATGTAATGGGCCGAGCACGGCTCTCCCTCAGGGCAGCAGCGGAGCAAGCACGGCTCTCCCTCAGGGCAGGAGTGGACAGAGTGCGTCTGGCTCCCTCAAGCCAGCAGTGGAGAGCACGGGGGTCCCTCAGGGCAGCAGTGAACGGAGCACGGCTTTGCCTCACTCTCACTCAACCGTCTCCTCTGAGGTGCATGCGATTGTGTGTGAGTGTGTGTGAGTGAGCTGTGTGAGTGAGTGAGCTGTGTGAGTGAGTGAGCTGTGTGAGTGAGTGAGCTGTGTGAGTGAGTGAGCTGTGTGAGTGAGTGAGCTGTGTGTATGAGTGAGTGAGCTGTGTGTGAGTGAGCCGTGTGTATGAGTGAGCCGTGTGTATGAGTGAGTGAGCTGTGTGTGAGTGAGCTGTGTGTGTGTGTGAGTGAGCTGTGTGAGTGAGTGAGCTGTGTGTGAGTGGATCGACCGTCAGCTTTCCGTGGCTGCGTCTCTGGCGCTGTGGCCGTCATGTTGCTGCTTCTCGGGCCTCCGAGGTGCGGAGTGCACCACAACACGAAGTGGACAGCTCGCGGTCACGTGACGCACTTCAACCAATCCGGGGGCGCGCGGTCACGTGACGCACTTCAACCAATCCGTGGCGCGTTAATCACAGTGACATAATGACAGCGGGACAGATCCGGGCTATTATATATATTGATAAAATATATATTACAATTACAATTCCTTATAGGGGAAACAAATACTAATTAACAACAATTGAATGATTACCAATCTATTATATAATTACGATACCCTCTCCACCTCAAATCACTGCACCAGATTTAGGTTGAATGATGATCACGAGACCAGCGAGCCTGAGTTGGGTGGGTAGAATAATACATATTGTAATATTACACTATGTATTATTCTAAGACATAGGGTCGTGTATAGTAATACAGTATACAATTTAATACTATGTAGTTTATACTTTAGCGTTTTACGTTGTTGTTTAGTTACTGCAGCTACATACTATTAACATTTCTTCCCTTTATTAATGCTACCCCTATCACCCTCCCTTTGATGCTGCTAATCCTGCATAATGCATGGGCATTATGCAGGATTAGCATTTCACAAATAGCACTAATCGCATTCCTGCATTTCCCATAAATATGCTAGATTCCTCTTGATATGCAGATTATTTTGTCAATGCGCATTCCCCCCCCCCCCTTCCAACCCAGCTTAAATAGACGCTCCAAGCGTGGTGGTGTTTTTTTCTTTTAGACGCTGTCGCCTCGACAGACCTGTCTTCACCTGAGGACGGCTACTTGTGTTGTGGCCGAAACGTCGTGAGAATTATTTTATTGTTTTATTTTTATTATTTTATTACTTCCCTTCTACGTGACTTTACCGAAATAACCAAGAAGATGAATCCCTGTAGTCACGAAAGCTTTAAATCGAAATGGTAATAACTTGTTTAGTTTGATAAGTCCAAGATCATTTGTTACATATGGTATTGAGAAGGTGATTTGATAGTTGCTAAAATGTAGTGTTATATTTATTGATATTGTTGTAAAAAGAAACACAAAATGGCCATCCTGTAGCTTTTAATTTAACATTGAGCTGATGGAGCGAGCATAATTCTATTTTTGGTAGAGATTGTTTTGATTCACATATAACAAACAATAGTTGCTTCATATATTTATGGTAATTAAAATGATTTGCCAAATGTATGCTTTATGAATATAATTGGATTAGACACATAACGTATTATTTTATTTGTGCAGGATTATACAGTATTTAGAAAATACTCTAGATGTTTCTAGAATATAGTTTTTTTTTACATTGAGCTGGTGGAGCTCAATGTTAAGAAGTTTTTGTTAAATGTTAAATCTTTCAAATGTTATACGTTGAATGTGTTTTGTGTATGACAACCAGGCGTTATCATTATTGAGATTCGGGTGGACAGCAGAGGTCGCAACCGGGTACCCGATACCCGTACCCTACCCGATACCCAGCTATCCGTTTTCGACTCTGGTACGGCCGAGTACGGGTAAGGAATCAAAACCCGTTTGCGACCTCTGGTGGACAGTACAGGGGTTGAGCAGTGAGGTGGTGTGAATTGGGGTTGATTGGCGTGCATCTGGTCATAATTATAGATGCACGAATGCTGCTCAGAGGAACGCTTTGAAATAAAGAGTTGCAGTCACACAACCCTCTGGTTGTGCCTTGGTGGTGGAGTCATTCGATTCTCAGAAGGAATGCAGAACAACGCACAGTATGCACTCATCCCCTCCGAACTCATCATCTAATATTGTTGTTGTTTTTACTTATTAACTGGCCTGTCCCCTCGTAACGATCACGGGAGGAGAGGGATAGGGTGGGCCGGTTACATTAGTTAGATGTCACGTTTTGTAGTTAAATAATGGATTACTTTTATGAAAAATGAAACGGTTATTTAATGCTACTACGGTTCTTGGTTGATCGTTACTTTTGTTAGATCACTAAATTAGCTTGCCCAGGCGGTCCATAGCTATTGTCACTGCCCAGATAATATACGCTCCAAGCGTGGTGTTGTTTCATTCAGACGCCGTCTCCCCGACAGACCTGGTCTTCACCTGAGGATGGCTGCTTGCGTTGTGGCCGAAACGTCGTGAGAATTATTTTATTATTTCCATTCTACGTGACTTTACCGAAAGAACCAAGAAGATGAATCCCTGCAGTCACGAATGCTTTAAATCGAAATTTGCCCAGATAATAGTTAACTAGTGATGATGATGAAAGTGGTGATGGTGGTGGTCGTGGTGGTGATAATGATTGTGGTGATGGTGACGATGATGATGGTCATGATGATGGTGGTTGTGGTGATGATAGTGGTGGTGACTGATGAAGATGGTGATGTTGGTGGTGGTGACGATGATGGTGGTTATGGTCATGATGACGATGGTGGTGGTGATGAATTCGGGTTGACCACGACCTACTATTGAACTCACCTCGTGGTGTTCTTCGTTGGCGCTGAGCTCCGGTCTCCGAGCCATTCTCAACCTCCGCGCTGTCAACGACCACTGTTACTGCGGATAAATCAAAATTTCAGAATCAATGTATTTATTTATAATGGAGGAATCCGATGAGCTATGAAGCTCGTTTTCACAGCTGATCCAGTAGGGCCACGGGGTAAGAACGTTACGCTGATGACGGTCGCATTAGGGGCACCACGGTGGTTAGGAGATGTGAACTACCTCGCCTCGAATACAGGAGGTCGTGGGTTCGATCCCAACCCTGACGCCTGCTGCTGTATATTTGGAGTTTGCGTGTTTTCCCCGTGGTCTCGTGGATTTGACTCTGGATCCTCCGGTTTTTCCCTCCACATTTAGAATCAACATCACGTGTTTAGAGTATTTGGCTGCTAAACTTTTCCACATGATGATGATGACGATCAGCCACTTCGTTGCGCTATCATTTGTGGCAGGCATCATAGCCGGCACACAGCAATGCCTTGCATTGCCCTGCTCTTTGCTGTATCTATGTACGTATGTTGAACTTTTTTCGCACCGTACGTAGCCAACCGTGCTAAGTGTGTATGTATATTAAAACTTATTTCGCACCGTACGGAGCCAACCGTGCTATGTATGTTGAACTTCTTTCGCACCGTACGTAGACAACCGTGCTAAGCGGAGGTGCGGGGGAACGACAACAAACGACCTTGTTGCTGGCTACACAGAGACCCGCAGATGCCCCGTGACAACCTGTCAAGCGTGATCGGTGCTGAACTGCCCAGACTCACCAGCCCTGACAATCTGTACAGACCGGACGAGTTCCTGATTGCATTGTGCCACCGGTGTTGATGGTATGCGGGGTATGTGGGGTGTGTGGGGTATGCGGGTGTGTGGGGTGTGTGGGGTATGCGGGGTGTGTGGAATGAAAACCGCAGAGTCGCCTGATGATGCTCCTTGTTGTTGTAATTACAGGCGATACGTCACGGTAGTCGGATTGTAAATGTTGTAGTGTACACTACACACTACACTACTACACACTACACTACTATACACTACACTACACACTACTATACACTACACTGTAAGTGTAAATGTTGTAGTGGGCTTACTATTCAACACACAACCAGTGATAGCTGAACTAGTATAATACAATATACACTACACTACTACACACTACACAACACGCCAGTTGAACTAGTAACGAATTGGCACGTTGTGTTGACGTGACAAGCATGACCGATTGGCTGTGTTGGTTGTTAGTGGCGGGTGTGACGACGACACAACATTGATATTTACGCGATCTAACCCAACACAAACCTCCACTGTGGATAATGTTGGTCGCGAAAGCCTCCTCCTCCTACCACGACAAAGTGTTGCACTGATCCACAGACGTAGACTCGCAGATTGCGCACAGATCTTCTACACAGAGACAAAGATCCCCCGTGCAGCCTCAACAGAATGGCGGGGGCAAGTGCTGTTAGTAGTAGCGAGTAACAGCGCCTATGGGGCCGTCCATAAATGAGGTCACGCGCTTTTGGCCGATTTTAGACCCCCCCTACCCCCCATCGTCACACGGCGTCACAAAAAGTCAGACTCCCCCCTCACAAGCTCTGCCCTGCCCCCCGCCCCCCCCCAAAAATAAAAATGCTTCAAATCGCTTTAAACTCTTGTCATTGTAGTGCGTATTTAATGTGGCGCTGCACTCTGATGTTATAGGACAAAATATTTAGTAAAACGTATATTCAGTTAAGTAGATTGTGTTGTCTATATTTATTTAAAGTTGCGCATTTTGATGTGACGTCACATTTCTCAACCCCCCCCCCTAGGTGCGTGACGTCATTTATGGACGGCCCCTATGAAGGCTACCGGCACTGTGGCACACGAGGTGGTGGGTGGCCATCACCACGCCCGGCCGCCTTTGTCTCCCCAGTGTCGATGTTTACTACACACCACCGCTCCAGGTATCGTACATAGAGCTATGCATAGGGAGACTCATAGACCAGACTCAAATAGAACCACAGACATCCACAGACACACTTAGAGACCCACACTCATCGAGACCCATACTAAAACTAAACTATTTTGATGTTACCAGTTAAGGCCCACCGAGCTGTATAGCTCTCTTTCAGAAGCGACCTGACCATCACATATAATAGCGCAACGAACTGGCTCATCATCATCATCATGTTTAGAGAACTAGTGATGGTCAGCTCGCTTCTGATAAAAGAAAAAGCTACACAGCAGCTTAGTGGGACCTTATGCCTGGTGAGATCAACTTAGTTTAGTATGCGTCTCTGTGGGTTTCTATGGGTGTCTGTGGGTCTCTGTGGGTCTTTATGCGTCTCTGTGGGTCTCTATAGGTAGCTGGGTCTATATGGATGTCTATTGGTGTCTGTGGGTCTCTATGGGTGTCTGTAGGTCTCTATGGGTGCCTGTGGGTCTCTGTGGGTCTCTATGGGACTCTGTGGGTTTCTATGGGTCTCTGTGGGTCTCTATAGGTCTCTGGGTCTATATGGATGTCTATGGGTGTCTGTGGGTCTCTATGGGTGTCTGTGGATCTCTATGTATTTCTATGCGTTTAGAGTATTTGGCTGCTGCTATCAATGTCCACGTGGTGATGATGATATCAGCCACGTGGCTGATTTTCTATCTTTAGTGATGGCCCAGCTCGCTTCTGATAAAAGAGCTACAAAGCAGCTCAGTGGAGTCCTTAAGCCTGGTGACAATAAACAGGAGCAGTGAACAGGAGCAATGAACAGGAGTAGTGAGCAGGAGTAGTAAGAGTTAAACAATAAAGTGTAGCCCAGTTGCCCGGCTATAGTCCACGGGAGATCCGTGAGTGCTGGGTGGATCACTTCAGCAGCAGCAATAAAGATAAAAGCCAACGTGGTCACTGCCGAGATCAAGTGCAGTGAGGGGTCCTGTAGTGAACACTGCACAGATAACAAATGTAGGTGGCGTTTAAACGGTGGTAAACCAAACTCACTCGAGTCAAAATAACAACAGTGCAAGTGCAATGCGAGTGCAAGAGAGAGACAAAGGCGGCCGGGCGGGCGTGGTGGTGATGCTGGCCACCTACCACCAGCCCGCACCCTCCTGTGTCACGGGTCTCTGTGTCACTGTGTGTCTATGGGTCTCTGTGTGTGTCTCTGGGTCTCTGTGTGTGTCTATGGGTCTACGTGTGTGTCTATGGGTCTCTGTGTGTGTCTATGTGTCTACGTGTGTGTCTATGGGTATCTGTGTGTTATCTATAGGTCTCTGTATGTTAACTATGGGTATCTGTGTGTGTCTATGGGTCTACATGTGTGTATATGGGTCTCTGTGTGTGTCTATGGGTCTACGTGTGATTCTATGGGTCTATGTGTGTCTACGGGTCTCTGTGTGTGTGTCTAAGGGTCTATATGTATGTCTATGGGTCTCTGTGTGTCTATGGGTATCTGTGTGTGTCTATGGGTCTCTGTGTCAATCACGGCCTCCAGGCTGACACCCAACCCAATACAGGGCTCACATCTGGAATAAAATTCCAGAAACTCCGCGGTTGCTGCGTCAGCGATCTGACCTCTGAAGCATCCAACCACCTGAGCGTTTTGAATGACGCGCCTGTGAATAGTGTGCGTACGTGTGTGTGTACGTGTGTCTGTTGAGGCTACCGCGGGGGGTCCTTGTCTTTGTTGAACTTCGTTCAAGGCCATTGTGAACCTCCAAAGGTGAGAGACGCTCAGACGCAGATCGTGAACCGAGGATCTGAGCTGACTCAGCGTGTTCGTGACACAGCCATTGTGAAGGTCTTGCACATCGCACCCACTGGGAAACACCGTCAACGCACGACGTCTGATTGTTGTTTGTTGTTGTTCTAAGATGCAGAGATGACGTTTTACATTCCAGCACAGCCAGGCAGCCATGAAGCCAGGCAGCCCAGCACGCTATAGTAGTGACGCGTTTATTTGTCAGTAAAGCTCATGAGGAAGTGTGGGGGGGGGGGGAAACCCCAAAACCAACATCGCCATGTCGAGTCTCTCTTGCGCAAGTCACGAGACACAAATAGGCAATACAGACTCTGGCGAAGCTGCTACTGCTGCTGTGTATTTGGAGTCTGCGTCTCTCTCCCCGTGGTGGTCGCTGCGTGGATTTTTCACTCTGAGTCCTCCGGTTTTCCCCCTCTTACATTTAGAATCAACGTCACCACGAGTTCAGAGTCTTTGTCTGCTGCTATGATGATGATGATATCAGCCACGTGGTTGAGCTGCTCTCATTAGTGATGGTCCAGGTCGCGTCTGAAAATGAGTTAAGTAGCTCAGGGAGCTTTAACTGGTACAATACAAAAAAAATTCGCGTTTCTTATTTTTTCAACGTTTTAACTTAATCTTGATATGAAGCTTTCGTGACTGCAGGAATCCATACTCTTTGGTTCTTTCGGTAAAGTCAAGTAAGTAGACAAATAATAGATCACGACGTTTCGATCGCGACACAAGCAATCGTCATCAGGTGGGACAGCCACTTGATTCCTCTATGTTTGTCGTGGTCAAATCTTGTAATCAAGATTTTGTCTACTTCCCGTTGTCCAATCAATTCCACATTTTGCCCACGTACTCGGATACGGTGACAATGCCTGTATCAAAGTCGGCATGAATTAATCAATTAATTCGCTACTTTAAAGCAATTTACATTTTGTATGGACGCCTTATTATATATATTTGTGTAGGTCAAAAACGCCATTGACGCACTTCTCGACCGTGAGTTAAGCGAAGTTGTTAACGAAACCGTTGTTTAAAAAAAAACTTTTTTAAAGGAGTTTATTCATGAATTCCATCGGAATCGCGCCTTGATTCACATAAGGTGAGGCTGGGCTATGGGTGCATCGTGTTTGTACTGCTATGTTTATGTTCTAGTGTGTGTACTGCTGTGTGTGTACTGCTGTGTGTGTATTTCTGTGTGGGCAATGATGTGTGTGTACTGCTGTGTATGTACTGGTGTGTGTGTGTACTGCTGTGTGTGTAATGACCCCAAGCCAATGTGCAGCCTAACGGCCATTCAAAGATAAACCAACGTCTCTGATTGGAGGAACGAGGCCTCCACGGGGATTGGTCAGGAGGCAAGGACCTTTTGCAGTGATTGGAGGAAAAGTTTTGAATGAGAATGGGCGGGAAACGAAGTGGAACTCGGAGGCGACGGTTTGGAGGGGAAGGACGGGGATTGGCTGAGGGAAATGGAGTGAGGGAACATTCGAGACAAGGGGGCTGAGGGCTATATAAGAGGAGAGGGCACGATGCGTGGAGGAAGATACAAGCTGGAAGGCAAGAACGAAGCCGAGGGCCTCTTATTGTGGAAGTCTTCAAACAATAAGTAAAATGAATTTTTTTTAAACACGCTTTTATGAAATGTACCCTACTAGTAATGGAAGAACTCCACGACTCCAGGAAGTGGCCCCAAAGCTTGCCATAACGTAAGGGACCGTGGTGATTTACAACCAACGTTAGTTGACCGTGGACAATTAGACCCAAGCCGAAACATAACGTGAAAATGAATGTTTCTGTGTGAGTCTGTGGGTCTCTGTGTGAGTTGGTAGATCTCTGTGTGAGTCGGTAGGTCTCTGAGTCGGTGGGTCTCTGTGTGAGTTGGTGGGTCTCTGTGTGAGTCGGTGGGTCTGTGTGTGAGTCCGTGGGTCTCTGTGTGAGTCCATGGGTCTCTGTGTGAGTCGGTGGGTCTCTGCGTGAGTCTGGGTCTCTGCGTGAGTCGGTGGGTCTCTGCGTGAGTCGGTGGGTCTCTGCGTGAGTCAGTGGGTCTCTGCGTGAGTCGGTGGGTCTCTGTGTGAGTCGGTGGGTCTCTGTGTGAGTCGGTGGGTGGCCAGCACCACGCCAGGCCTTCATAGGCGCTGCTGCTGCCACTCGCTAACAGCACTTGCCCCAACATCATGTTGAGGCTATAAGGGGGATCTTTGTCTTGTTTGCGTGTTATCTCTTGCGCGCGTGTGTGGGTGGTGCCTCTCCAACTAATGCAGACGGTTTATTGGAGTTTGTAGTTTTATGGATTGTTTTATAGTTGAGTGAAAGGCGATGTAACGACTTGCACGTTGACTGTGCTCGTGCCGTAATTAACGACACCCTGAGACTCAGCAGTGCCCACAGACTCAGCACTGCTACCTATAGACTCAACACTGCTACCTATAGACTCAACATTGCTACCCACAGACTCAACATAGCTACCCACAGACTCAACACTGCTACCTATAGACTCAACACTGCTACCTATAGACTCAACACTGCTACCCATAGACTCAGCACTGCTACCCATAGACTCAGCACTGTTACCCATAGACTCAACACTGCTACCCACAGACTCAACACTGCTACCCACAGACTCAGCACTGTTACCCATAGACTCAACACTGCTACCCATAGACTCCACACTGCTACCCATAGACTCCGCACTGCTACCCATAGACTCCACACTGCTACCCATAGACTCAGCACTGCTACCCATAGACTCAGCACTGCTACCCATAGACTCAGCACTGCTACCCATAGACTCGGCACTACTGCCCATAGACTCAGCACTGCTACCCGTAGACTCAGCACTGCTACCTATAGACTCAACACTGCTACCTATAGACTCAACACTGCTACCCATAGACTCAACACTGCTACCCATAGACTCCACACTGCTACCCATAGACTCAACACTGCTACCCATAGACTCAGCACTGCTACCTATAGACTCAAGACTGCTACCCATAGACTCAACACTGCTGCCCATAGACTCAACACTGCTACCCATAGACTCAACACTGCTACCCATAGACTCAGCACTGCTACCTATAGACTCAGCACTGCTACCCATAGACTCAGCACTGCTACCCATAGACTCAACACTGCTACCCATAGACTCAACACTGCTACCCATAGACTCAGCACTGCTACCCATAGACTCAGCACTGCTGCCCATAGACTCAACACTGCTTCCCATAGACTCAGCACTGCTACCCATAGACTCAGCACTGCTACCCATAGACTCAGCAGTGCTACCCATAGACTCAGCACTGCTACCCATAGACTCAGCACTGTCACCCATAGACTCAACACTGCTACCCATAGACTCAACACTGCTACCTATAGACTCAACACTGCTATCCATAGACTCAGCACTTTCACCCATAGACTCAGCACTGCTACCCATAGACTCAGCACTGCTACCCATAGACTCAGCACTGCCCATAGACTCAACACTGCTACCCATAGACTCAACACTGCTACCCATAGACTCAGCACTGCCCATAGACTCAACACTGCTATCCATAGACTCAACACTGCTATCCATAGACTCAGCACTTTCACCCATAGACTCAGCACTGCTACCCATAGACTCAACACTGCTACCCCATAGACTCAACACTGCTACCCCATAGACTCAACACTGCTACCCCATAGACTCAGCACTGCCCATATACTCAACACTGCTACCCATAGACTCAACACTGCTACCCCATAGACTCAGCACTGCCCATAGACTCAGCACTGCCCATAGACTCAACACTGCTACCCATAGACTCAACACTGCTACCCCATAGACTCAACACTGCTACCCATAGACTCAGCACTGCCCATAGACTCAACACTGCTATCCATAGACTCAACACTGCTATCCATAGACTCAGCACTTTCACCCATAGACTCAGCACTGCTACCCATAGACTCAACACTGCTACCCCATAGACTCAACACTGCTACCCCATAGACTCAACACTGCTACCCCATAGACTCAGCACTGCCCATAGACTCAACACTGCTACCCATAGACTCAACACTGCTACCCCATAGACTCAGCACTGCCCATAGACTCAACACTGCTATCCATAGACTCAACACTGCTACCCCATAGACTCAACACTGCTACCCATAGACTCAGCACTGCTACCCATAGACTCAGCAGTGCCCCTGTACATGAAGCAGTCCCCCTCTTTAGCCTCCTTCCATTCCTCTCTGAGAGCCTCCTCAACTGTACTCCATCGCCCATCCGCCTCCTCTTCTCCCGTCTCAACACTCCACTCCGTTCACACGTGACCCCCACGTGACCCCTGCTCCAGACACTCCACCCTGAGCCTCGCTCAGCGCTTGCCCCAACAGCCTGTTACAGGCTACACGTGGTGGTGGTGGTGGTGCTACTTACCAAATAATAATAGTACAAATATTGTTGTTGCTTTTGTTGTTCCAAGTGGAGAAGTCGGGTCCATTCCTTTACGAATGTAGGACAGGAATTCTGTAAAATGAACAAGTTACAAACGATTTACAAATTAATTCATCGTTTGGCATGAGGGTCACATCTCCCCACATCACCGCGCGGCAAGACTCGTCAACACGAGACAATGAATCTCAATAGGAGCTCTCTCAGCTGGTGGTTAAATAAAGGACCTCAAAAACAGGAGACAATCTCAATGGGGTCTGAATCTCGGAGTGAGTTAATGAAATTTGGGATTGAATCTCCCGGTTAGACCGGTAATCACAGAGCGTAGTCCAACCGGTTCCTCAACTGAAGGCCACGGCAGCATTGCTCGCATACCACTCACGAACCTGTCTGTGTTGTTCACTCACCTGAGAGGTACGCGCCTGAAATACCAAACAAACGATCCCAGTTTAATTCTAGATTTTAAGCTTTCGTGCCTGCAAGGATTCATACTCTTTTCGGTAAAGCCACGTAGGTAAAAATAAATCATAAATAATATTAAACAATAGTTTCTTGCTGTGGTTGTCCCACCTGATGACGGACGCTTGTGTTGTGCCCGAAACGTCGTGATTTATTATTTTATTTCTACTTTTATTATTTATTTTTCCCCTACGTGACTTTACCGAAAAAACCTAAGAGTACGACCCCAGTCTGACTTCTACTAACAGACTGTCGGTACTCATTTGAGGCTGAGTCGACCTTAGGGCAGTCCCGGGACCGGCTCAGATCATCGTCACCCGCGGGTGTTGAGCCCCGAGCGGGAATCGAACTCGTCTCGCCGGGTTCGTTCCGCTACTCGCTGCCACTGCCGCTCCGCACACACAAAGTGCAAAGATCAAAGTTCTCAACTCGCCCAACTGCACAAAAACAAAGATCACCCACGTAGCCTCTAACAGACTGCAGGGGCAAGTGCTGTTAGCGAGTAGCAGCGCCTGTGAAGGCTACCGGCACTGTGGCACACGAGGGGGTGGGTGGGTAGCACCACGCCCGGCCGCCTTTGTCTCCCTAGTGGCGATGTTTACGAACATTTGAGGCTGAGTCGACCTACACACACATCGCCTCGCACGCTTTGGGATGCGCTTCTGCGGCCGTCTGGAACGCTCTTGCTTGCGATATTGGGACGCCACTTTAAAATCATCTGGATTGAGCACTCATTTGTTTAGAACTGAGTGCTGTTGCTGTGCTTAGATTGGTGTCCTTCACACGCAACTCCGATTAGCCGTGGTTGGCTACGTACGGTGACTGTGACGTCACCACGTCGCCAGTGCCAGGCTAGGTGCACTTACACACACACTCAAACACACACTTACTCACACTCGCACAATTACACACTCACACACTTGCACACACTCAACAACAACAACAACCGCCATTCGCCACTAAGTGGCGGTGACGTCACCACGATGCTTGTGCCAGGCCAAGTGCACCTTAAGGCCACGTGAAGTGTCGAACGCCCGCTGGCAGGAGATCACGGGGCAGACCCAGGTGCCACGGATCGACTGACCGAGATGACTGGCTGATGCACCACCTTTGCCCCCTACTGTACCAACTTGCTGTGCTTTAGCCACCCCCGATCTTGACACCGCTGGTACCAGTCATCGGCCAGTCCACTCAGCTCCATGTCCTCCTGTACCACATCACTCCATCTCTTCTCTAGCCTGTGCCGCGCCCGTTTAGCCCCCTCGATCCGGCCGAACAAAAGCTGTTTAGGCATGCGGTGGCTGGGCATGCGGGCTACATGACCCAGCCAACGCAGCCTTGCCTGCCGGAGGAGCTCACCGATGGGACTTTGCCCAGATCTTTCCAGGATTTGTGAGCTCCTCACACAATCCAGCCTGACACACACACACTCACACACACACACTTACACACACACACACTCTCACACACTCTCACTCTCACACACTCTCACTCACACACTTACACACTCACACACTTACACACTCACACACTTACACACTCACACACTTACACACACACTTACACACTCACAAAGAGTTAAATCCTCACCGTTGTTAGCCCATGTCACAGCTCCGTGGGGTGAACGATGATGATTCGATGCACGTGTTGAGTGGCACCGCGTGTGTGTGTAGAGTGTGCGAGTGTGGCTGTCACTTCTAGATTTGAAGCTTTCGTGACTGTAAGGATTCATATTCTTAGGTTTTTTCGGTAAAGTCACGTAGGTAAAAATTTAAAATTAATAATTTGAATGTTTTACCTACGTGACTTTACCGAAAAAAATCTAAGAATATGTGGCTGTCACCTCTGCGTGAATGTGTGGCTATCACTGCGTGTGTGAGTGTGGCTGTCACCTCTGCGTGTGTGAGTGTGTGTGTGGCTGTCACCTCTGCGTGTGTGTGTGAGTGGCTGTCACTGCGTGTGTTTCATAGCACAGTGGGTGGTGCTACCTGCCCCGTCACACTCTGACAGCCCAATGGGTGCTTCACCCCCCACCCCCTCTCCGTGTTAGACGACTGTGACTCAGAAGGAAGTGAGATGACTCTGGGGTTCTCTAGTCCAAGGGGTGGGTGGAGTACAGCACAAACAACGTCACAGATGTTAACTTTATTGTTTGGGTCTTTCGGTAAAGTCACGTAGATAGCTTAAAAGAAAATAACAAAAAACTAAAAATAGAACGTTTCGATCGCTTGTGTTGCGATCGAAACGTCGTAGTTTTTCTTATTTTCCTTGAACCTATATACGCGACTTTACCGAAAGATCCGAAGAATGTGAATTCCTGCAGTCACGAAAGCTTTAAGTCAAGAGATGTTAACCACCTCGCCTGGTCTACAGGAGGTCGTGGCTTCAATCCCGACCCTGACGCCTGCTGCTGTATATTTTTAGTTTGCTTGTTCACTCTCCCCGTGGTCGCGTGGATTGTCTCCGGGTCCTCCAGGTTTCCCCCTCCACATTCAGCATCGATGTCACCACGAGTTTGGAGTCTTTATCTGCTGATATCAACGTCCACGTGGTGATGATAACATCAGCCACCTAGTTGAGCTGCTATCAATTGTGATGACTAGGTCGCTTCTGATTAAAGCTACACAGCTCAGAGGGGTCTTACCTGGTCATCAAAACATAGTTTAAGTATAGTAATAGGTTTTAACCCTTTCAACTGGTACAAAAACTGACACCTTTATACAAGGCATCATGTTTGCAATAACCACAACACAAGCATTGCAAACATGATGCCTTGTATAAAGGTGTCAGTTTTCGTACCAGTTGAAAGGGTAACAACCTATTACTATAATTTGCCACTGGTAAAGGAGGTCTCATAGTGTAAATGCTTACCCCGAGCTCTCAATACTATGATAGTGCGCTGTCTTTGAGTTGTACGCCTTTTGGCGTCATCTGTCCCAACACCAATGGAGACTAGGCTCTAAGAAAAGCTGTCTCGGGTGTGGACTAATCAACTTCAAAGACACTGCATATCATTATCATCATCAGAGTTGTTTCTTTTTGTTTGCATTTTGACTGCTTGTGTTGTGGTTATTGCAAACATGATGCCTTGTATAAAGGTGTCAGTTTTTGTACCAGTTGAAAGGGTTAAAACCTATTACTATATTTTGCCACTGGTAAAGGAGGTCTCATTGTATAGTTTAAGTATTTTAGTAAAACATTAAACTCATCACGAGACATCCTGAGGCTGTCTCACGTCTCCCGAAGTCACAGGGAGCAGCACCCAGGGACCTGCAGACCGCCATGGTCGTGGTAGTGAGGAGTGACGCGTCGCTCGTGTGAAGTGCACAGAGAGTCTGTGGCGGAGTGCTTGAGCAGACCGAGAGAGCCACGGCAGAAAGGACTACGACGCCATGGCGGAGGTGACGGTGGTGAAGGAGGGCTGGCTCTACAAGCGTGCTGCAAGCTTATTGTAGAGGTGGTTACGGGAAGGGAAGCGGATAAACACACAGGGGTGTCTACATCCACACACAGAGGTGTCTACATCCACGTCTGCAACGGTTAACTCTGGGGGGCTATGGGTGGCGCTGTGATCCCCCATAGCCCCACCCCTCGGTGGCGATTGGTATAAAAGGCGGGGAGCCAGAGGGCTCAGGGTCCAGTGTGAAGCTTTAACCAGCGAAGACTGAAGACCGGCAAATAGGCCCTGGAACTCCCCTGGCTCGCTGTCCTTCTCAGGGCCGGGCAGGGCAAGCCAGTGGCGCAGCCCTTAGAGCCTCAGGACCGATGTTCTTGTAAGAGCCGGTCTGGTCGGCTGGGTGCCGGGATCCGTGCTTAACCAGGGCCGGATCAGATAGCCTCCCCTTGCACTCTTAGCGGAGGACTGGGAGTAGATCAGTCGGGGATAGTGCTAGGGGTGTATTCCTGTTGAGTACGGGTGAAGGGGCCGTTACCCCTTCAAGTGTTGTGTTACTGCCCCTTGGTTTAAAAAACAAGTGTGCCTCGACTATGTCGTCTCTGTCTCGCTGAGAACCCACTACAACATGACTCGGGCGATGAGAAATCAGGCGCACAGGCCGACAGAGAGGGAACTGCAGACCACGCTCCGCTCGCTGTCCTACAAGCTCGAGGATATGAGCCAGAGGTCGCAACCGGGTACCCGATACCCATACCCTACCCGATACCCGGCTACCCGTACCCGGCCAGGTACGGGTACCCATTTGCGACCCTGGTGCGGCCGGGTACGGGTACGGCTAAGGAATCAAAACCCGTTTGCGACCTCTGCTCAACTCTACAAACGGCTACCCTCGTTACTTCGCGTCCATACTTGTTGTTCAATTTGCCACTACACCTAATGAAACAGCTTATAGACACTTCTACACTCCATCATTGTATCCTTTTAAACCCTATCTTTGTCCCATTACTTCACCAGCACTCCTTCCAAACTTCATTCTGCTCTTAAAAATATCACCATCTGCGAGCTGCTGCTATTCGTCCAAGGTTCGCCGCTCTTCATCCTTGAGCATCTTCTGGCCGAGTCTCCTCCCTTGGGATCTTGCGTCGGCTGAGGCGAGACATCCCACCGCTGCCACCAGATGAAGAGAAGTCGGAGACTGGTTAAGCACTTTTTTATTCTTCAAACAAGAGCCACACTCGTTCCTCAAAACCAACCACGAACACGCATATCACAGCCCCTTTTAAACCCTCCATCTCCACCCTGCTTCCTAATCCACACCTCTGTTTCGCGCGCCGTGTGCGTGTGACGTCAGTGCCCTTTAATCCCTTGACCCCCGTCTAGTGTATTCACGTGCGCGTGATTGGTGTGTGCTATGTTGAGTGCGGAGATTGTGTGTCCGTGCGGTGTGAGGATGGCTCGGACATCCCCTACACAGGCATACCTCGTATAGCGCTCAAGATGCGTTCTTGGTAAATAGTTGCTATAAGTGGTATGCCTGTATTTCCTACCAATAGGGGTAAGTCGTAATTGTAGCCATCACAATGACCCGTGCTTGTTTCTGGGGTCAAAATTCTTGCCGTTAACCCAAAAACAACTCAGCATCGTTGTTGTGGCTTTGGAATCTACGTTGTCGGGTTTTGCTGAAAAACATCTACGGAAACATGTGGGTAAATGGTGATAATGGGGTTTGGTTCACGGTTCCTAACGTACGATAGAAAGAAAAATGGCGGGCGGCTGAACCTCACTGCCTCCTCACTCGAGGCTGGAAACACCACGTGACCTGGGACCCCCAATGGGCCGCTTGAGAGACGAGACGGGAGACAAGATAGAGATAAGATGGAGATAAGACGGAGGTAAGACGGCACCCCGTGTGTTCTTCCGCGGCAGCATCATCGCGAGCAGTGCAGTTACAACGCGTACATACATCTCGTGATCAACCGCGAATGGTCCAGTCACAGGGGCACGATCGGCCAACTCCGTACCTCAAAACTTGGGACAAAACTGCACATCCGCGATAGCTAAACCCACGAGAGGGAAGAGTTTGCCGTACTCGAATATAAAAATATATTTTTTTCACAGAATATAATTCACCTTTCATCGTCATATCACGGCACAAGGAATCCACTTGTAAATGTTGCAGAGCGGTGCGACCCCGATGTGTGAAACAAACGGCTGTGAATGGGACTGGACCCGACTTGTCACAAGAATCCTTCGTTCCCTCAATACCTCCGCACATCTGGGCCCGCAATGCCTCGCACGATTTACCTTGAGACGTCGCACGGCAGCCAAGCAGACGTTTTAATTATCGGACAAAGAGGTATGATGGGACAAATTTACGCGATGGGTTTTGTTTTGTGCAGTCCATTGGTGACCGGGCTGAGACCATCAAACTCACTGCATTTGAGAGCCCAGTTTAATCACAACCATGTGTCTAAGTCTGAGGTTCTATAAAGTGTACTGGTCTATATTTTCATGAATGGGTCACTATATTAGCCATTGACATTCTGTGTGAATGGTTGGGTCTCTGTGTGAATTTATGTGTCCCTGTGTCCATTAGTGGGTCTTTATGCGCGCCTTTGGGTCTCTATGTGAATATATGATCTATATGTGAATATATGGGTCTCTTTGTGAATCTGTGGGTATCTGTGTGAATCTATGGCGTCCATGTGGATAAATGGGTCTATTTGTGAATCTATGGGTCTCTGTGTAAATTGTTACGGGGTCTCTATGCCATTCATTTGTGGGGCAGCATGACAATGCACCTTGCAAAATGGACGTAAAGCTACCACGTGTCTGGGAGGCTCAACCGTGACACGTGGTCAGCTGGTTGCCCCTCTCTCCACCACCAGCAACGCCCACATTTCTATAGCCACGCCCACACAGTTGAGGTCTCGCGTTCTACATCAACATTTTCAGACGGTCCAGACCAAACCAGAACTTTGGTAGCTTTGCGTTAACCTCACGAGGCATTGCGGTTCAACTTCACATCGCTGCGTTGCCGGCGTCTTGATCATTGGCTCTATGAGGGTTAGTTTCTAGCGGTGATGAGTTGATTAGTACAACTTGCTGTATAAGTTAAGGTGGCTTGGGACTGGTTGGCTGAACTTCTGGGTTCTCTAAGTTGAGGTCTCACATTCTCCTTCTTCATCGTTTGGCTCATCTCCTTGCTCTGCCGGTGCAACTTGACCTGTTTAATAAAGAGAGGTAAGCGATGAGTGCGTGATGAGGCTAAGTGAGCAGTGTAGGATTGTGCAATACGTGCATAGATAACGAATGCAGGTACGTGTACAACAGCCATTCACAACAAGGCAGTGACGTCACAACCGCGCTTGTGCCATGCTAGGTGCACTTTGAGGTTCCGTGATTTGTCAAAGGTTCCCTGGCAGGAGGTCACGGAACAGACCCAGGTCTCGTGGGTTGACCGAGATGGCTGGCAGATGCGCCACCTGTGCCCCCTACTGTGACAACTTTCTGCGCTTTAGCCGCCTCCTCTGCCATCC